TTGTGCCCCGCTGCTGTCCATTCCACCGCGCTCCCTCCGCCTGGGCACCCCATTTTTCATTCTATCCAGACCTTTCTTGGCCTTGCACCCGCTCACCGGTTGGACCACGTTTTTCTGGCTGGCCCTTTTTTTGTTCGCTTTCTTTCTTGATAGATAGGTACGGAGCTCCAACACGCGCATAATCACGCGTGATTGACTCTCCCAGCACCGTGGGAGCTAACAGCAGCTGTAGAATATAGCAATTGACCCCTAGACGTACCACCATGGCGCGTCTTAGCGGTCTACCATCTGAGCACCACCACGAGGGCCCTGGCGACGCTCCACGACGAAAGCGCGGCCGCCCATCCACCAAGTTCCAGACGCCCTCGGAAGACATGAGCTCCAGCGGCAAGCGGACTGCTTCGCCTTCTGCTGAGCTCTCGCAGACGAAGCGCACAAAGCGAATTGCGGTTGAAGATGACGAAGACCAGATTGCCCACGAAATTCAGCAATCGTTTTCGCGGTCGCAACAGGGCGACAATATCAACGTCGAGACGCAGAGCAGCCACACCACCCGCCGCCACGCACGACGACACTCTGAGCCTCCCGTCGCCGTCGACGATGATGATGACGACGAGGACGAGCTCATGGCCCCGCAAGCTTCCACGCAACCACTTCCAGGCCTGACCCCCCACCTTGATCGTGTTGGTGCTGCCCGCAAGCGCTTCGTTAATATCCGCCGGTCCCGCATGTCCATGCCTGCCCAGTTGCACATTGAGCGTGTAGATGAGGTCGACGAAAACAACTCCAACCGCGTTCAATTTGCACCCCTCACACAAGTACTCGACAGCCGTGCTAGGCGCCGGCTTCGCCGCAGCCACCTGAGTCAAGAGGTAAACAGCTTCGAAGACCACCAGAAGAAAGACAAGAAGCTCTTCCTCGAGCTCCGCCGCCAGCTGCGCGAACAAGATGAAAAAATCAAGGATCTCGAGTACCAGCTCGAAGCCCGCCGCCTCGGAGAGATTGATATTACCGATGCACACGCCGACGAGCTGCAAGTGCAGCTAGATGAGGCTCGCCAACAAATCGACGAGCTTCGAGCATCCTCGTTGTACAACGGTGACGACAATGAGGAGCCTGTCAATCTTTCCGACGATGAAGAAGCACTCGTCATGGTTGATCCCGAAGACCTTCACATGTCGCAAGACCTCGACATGGAGCCTATCCCCACTGGCAAATACGCCTCTCGTGCGCTCGAAATCTCCAGCCAGATGACCCTCGAGTCTCTGCCGACCCTTTCGCATCTCCACCGCGACAGCTTGACCGAAGGCGAGGAAGTAATGATGGACAAGATCGAAGATGAAGCCATTGAGCGCTACGAACGGGAACTGCAACAGCTCAGCAAAGCCTTGGGCGAGTCTCAGGGCGCATTGCGCTTGATCACGATTGAGCTGCAGAATTTGCGGTTCGTCGAAGCCGGTGCCTCCTCGAGCGACATCTTGGCTGAATTGCGACACGGATTCGAAGACATCCGCGCTGAGATTGAGAAGTTCTTCCCTGGTACCACATCTGGTGTCACTAACCAACAACTTCTGCAAAAGGTTCCCCAGCTCTTTGGTGGCATCTTCTACGAGCTGAAAGAAAAAATCACGCTGCTCAAGGACTCTCAAAAGACTGAGGTTCTTCTTCGACGACAGTACGAAGGTGTGCTAGACCTGCTCGGCGACTCCGAGGAGCGAGTGAAGCAGCTAGAGTCGGATGTGTTCACGCTTGACAAAGCAAACGAAGACAAGCAGCGTACCATTCTCGAACTTGAGGAGCGCAATGCTACCTTGACCAACCTGAATGACGAACAAGAGGCCCAGCTAACCAAACAAGATTCTGATATCGCTGATCTTGAGGACGAAAATGCAACCTACAAGCAGAATGTGACAGAGCTTGAAGAAGCTCTTGAAAAGTACCGCCAGGACCTTGACGATGTCACTACCGCAGCCACTGAATTCGAAAATAACCACCACGACACCATCGCCCGCATGGAGAAGGAACATGAGGAGGCCATAGCCGCCCTAGATGATTTGCGTGCGGCAGAACAGGAGGGTCGTGAAATGGCAGAAGCCGAAGTTGAGCAAAAGAACGACTACATTCAGCAACTAGAGGAAAGCATCGAGCGTATGGAAACCGATGTCGACAATATCACCGCAGATATGAGCACGCTCAGAGAACGTCTGGCTACTCAGACTGCGGCCCGCGAAGCTGCCGAAACCGAGCGGGATGAGCAGATTGAGCAAGTCTACAAGCACGCCAACGCCATCGAGAATCTCACAGACACCGTCACTGAGCTCAAGGAGCAGCTCAATGAATACCGGGATAATCTGGCCGCCGAGCGTGCTCAACGCGAGAAGACCGAAGCTGATTTGGATGAAGCCAACGAGAAGATTGAAGATCTCAACATTCGTCTTCATGACACTGGTATTCAGGCTAATGAACTTCGTTCGAAGCTGTTCCAGCTCCAACAAGAAAAGGAGGCCGCGATCAGTGAGCTTGAGGAGGATGCAGAGGAGCGCGAAAATGAGCTCAACAACCAGCTGGAGTCTGAGTCTCAGCTTCGTGAGAACGCTGAGAAGACAATTGGCCGACTGGAGCAGCAGATTCTGCAGCTTGAAGGAGACATCGCGACGCTTGAGAACAACCTTGCCGATATGACCGAATCACGTAATCAGCTCGAGCAAGACCGCGATGTCCAGGTTGCCAACCTCGCCGCTCAGCTCGCAGACCTTACTAACAAATATGCCGCATTGGAGAACTCAACCAGCTCTACGATTGCGTCTCTTCAAGCCAACATCATCGACCTCAACAACCAGGTGCAACGTCAACAAAGTGAAATTGAGGACCTTATTGAGCAAGTCGCTGAGAAGGAGCGCATGTATCTCGAAGATACTACCGCTCTCAAGGAGAAGATTGAGAATCTCGAGGAGGATCTTAGCAACCAGAAGGCTGAGAATGAGAGCTACCGAAGAGAGAACGACTCGTTGTCCAGACGTGTCGAGGCGGAGGCTAATGAGCTACTGAACATTGTCGGTGCGCACAACGACCAGATTAACTCTCTCAACGCCGTCATCAGGTCACATGAAGCGACGATCAAGAACCTTCAAGACTCGTCTGAGAAGCGCACGGCCGAGTACGAAGAGTTGCTCGAGGACCGCAACAACGAAATCACCGAGATGCGTCTCTTGGGCGATGCTCGTGTCGAGACGATTGTCCTTCTTGAAGCTCAAATCGAAGAGATGAAGGAGCGCTTCCGCCTTGCTGAAGAAGATACGCGCGCGACCATCGACGCCCTGACTGCTTCGCAGCGCCAACTCCAAGAACAGAATGAGCGTCTTGCAGACGATCTCAAGCGCCGCAACCAGGAAGCTCTTCAAGCTGTACAAGAAATGAAGCTCAAGCGTGTCGAAGTCAAGACGCAGGGCGTTGACCTGCACCGCGTTGTCACGGGCAAGATTGCCAAGACAAGCGAGAAGGTCAAGATTGCCAAGAAGGGCAAGAAGAAGAGCTCTAGGCGCCAATGGGATTCAGGATTTGGCGTTGATGAAAATGTAGAAGATGGCGAGCTCAATGGCGAAGAGCAACCGATTGCCGCGTAGAGTGCGCTTGGGTGCGGTCTCGATAAGGTTTCCTGAGGCCCACTTTTCTTGGGCTCCACAAGGGATGATGTCTATGTTCTTGGCCTTTGGCTCTTCGTCTTCTTCTTTACTCCAAACCTACTTGGACGTTGTCGTTGTACGTCCTTTCTGGGTATTTTTCTCTATCGGAACTGGGACAAGTTGTTTGTCTTGCTTTTTTTGCAGAAAATTGTATACCTCTCTTCTTCTTGTTTTCTTACTCTTTGGAGGGAGGGGAGGCAGGAATTTGTATTGTCTTCTTGTGTTTTATCCTTTTCGATATGAAGGGATAGATCGTACTGGGGACAAAATCCATTGCTAAATTAACGACTTTTGATGACTTGGCTTCTACTGGCTTCGTTTCTTAGGCTTGTTTCTTTTTTTTTGACTCGGTTTAGTTTGGAGGTAATTACACAGCAAGGCAGCAACAGTGTGTATGTATGCATGTATGTACGTATGTATGTTATTTTCCTTTGTGGCATATTAGCGAGGTGGAGTTTCCTTTATGGTATTGTATGCCCGACGGGTTTCATGGCAACGATGGAAAGAGGAGGATTACAACAAGCAAGTGGTACATTGTGTTAGGTAGTTGGTGCTGTAGCTGCAATTCTCATTGATCTTATCAAACACAATGGCTCTAGTGTGCTTCATGTATACTCACCTCCCTTCGTAATTCGTATCTCATACCGTATGGGTCTCTGATGCACTCTATGAGAGAATCAAAGGCGCGTGCGCATCCTCAATCTACGACACAACATCGTCACGCATATATCTCGTGCGATGTCGTGCATATACACTGCTGAAGGCCATTGAAACCAACAACCCGCGCTTGGATACTTACTACCTTGCAATTGAAAAAAAAAACCCCCCCAGATTCTCCCTCCCAGTATCACCACCACAACTACCATACTCCTACCTTTTTTTCGCCCTAGCCCATAAGACTTCTCTCTCCAACACAAACCACACCCAACCATCTAATCATCCCTCCTTCACAACCTCGAGATATTCTTCATCCTAGTCACATCTTCCCTTCCCTTTCGCAACCCTCCTTCCCAGACAAACACCCATTATCAGGGCATCAACCCCATTAACCTACTCCTTACCATCCCTGCTTAAAGCAAAGCGGCTGGGGGCGCATTGACGCTTGGCACTTGCCGAAGCGCTGGGTGTCGGAACCCTCGTACCCCGTCTACCTCCCCCCCCCCTCCCCCCAAAAAATCAAGATAGGGGGTGGTAGGGGTGCGTAGTGGGAATAAGGACATGGATGGGGTGTGTTATATGATGGGTTTATTTTTGAAGATTTGCTTTATCCGAAGCGCTGGGTGTCTGTGTGGGGATTGTGGATGTTTTTTTTGGAATCTATAGATGGGGGGGGGGGGAAAGGTAGATAATGTGTGGAGAGAGCGGGAGAGAGGGAAAAGTCCTAGATTTTTGATTTGGTTTGATTGATTGTTTGTCTATGTACACGAGGCTTGACATGTGTTTCGTTAAAAAAAAAGTGAAGATAAGGTATGTACAAAAGTTGCGGGAGTTTTGGGGTTTGTTTTTGGTTCCCGCAACCCCAACCCGTCCCCTTCCCAGGTTTCGCTGGTGCGGTTGCGCAGTGGTCTAGGCCGTGAACACATATAGTGTGCATTGGCAGTGTGTTTCTTCCATTGTAAGGGAAAACCGTGGTTGCCACAGGGAGTATGCTTGTTTTCCCCCCACTGGGTTATGCCGTATGGTCGGCTCGGGCAGTGCTCGTTTTCCCGTGTGGTTGCGGGGGAGAGGGATAATGGGTTGTAAGTATGAGTCTTGGGCGAAAAGAAAAGAAACTTTCATTATGGGATGTGCGGTAAAGACAAGTCCTTGAGACTCATGTTGCGGCTGTCACTCGATTCGGTGCTCCATCTTGAGTTTGGTGTTCGAGGTCGTGCTTTTCGCGCTCCGGCTTCCATTTCTTCGACATCCTCGGGTTGCGCTAGTTCGCTGGTGACTTGTGTGGTTGTGATAAGCTTGATGTCTGTGGCGCCTGCGCTGACGAGGTCATCTGAGCTATCGTTGCTTGAGGAGAGTGTGATTCTGCTCTTGTTCCTGCCCCTTCGGGTCTTTCCATGCGAGTTTGTGGCTTCGACTGTACATTCGCCACCGAAGCGCGTTGGCTTTTCTACCCAGAACACTGCGAATGTGTCTATGCCGTTATCTTCAGAAGGCGGCTCATCGCTGAATATCAGGATACGTCGAGTAATTGTGTAGAGGAGGACATCGAGCCAGCCGTTGGAAGTGATGATTGCACCACAGAGACAGAGGCGTGCTAGTGATGGTGGGCTGCCTGACATGGCCGCCATACGCGCGCTGGCGAGAGGAATAGTGCAGATGATATATACAAGAGGGTACACGACCATGAGGTTGGCGATGGACCGTACTCGTTCGGACTCTTCGGGCTTGTAGTGGCCTGAGCGAATGCGGACGATCAATATAGCATAGATAAGGGCGTATATGATGACGTTGCCGAATTCACTTGGTAGAAGAGTTAGCATGAACCATTGGACTGACAGCGTGGTGCTTACGCGATGAAGATCCAGAAGTAGTGGGTCCATAGTCGAAGGTCTTCATGGTTATGACTGATCCAACACCATACACCGGATCGAACGTAGATGCCCTTGCCATGCACGAAGATGGGAACGGTAGAAATCCCAAGGATGAATAACCATAGCAAGAATATAGTCAGGTAAAAGGCCCGGGGTTTTAGTCGATAGTTTAGGATGACGGACGCAAAGGTATGTAGACCGATGGCGAGACACCAGATGCCGCTTCCCAAGTCACCCGTCGAGACTAGCCAACTCTGCGCAAAGCAAACCGGATTTTTTACTTCCAAGGATCCCAGCCTCAGCCATTCGACGTTTAGCAGGAAAGCAAGGGATTGTTGTATGTCTGCCCAGAGTAGGTTGAAGATTAGGATGACGAATTGGTTACTCCGTTTGGAGCGGAGTTGCCAGGACACGAGCTTGTATGTGAGTACCAGTAGAAGGGATACCGAGGCGAAGAAGCTGACAAAGCCCAAAACGACGACTGCGCGTAACCATGGGTGGATGTGGTCTGGTAGGACAAACGACGCAGAATCGGAGTCGTGGTGCTGAGGGGTCATTGCAGCAGGTTAGGCGGGTTGACGCTCGTCTCGTCTCGTCTGATGGAGGGCAAAGATGTTACATGCCAAAAACAAGACCAGTCTTGCTGTTCGAAAATATCATACCGAGTGGGCCAGGCATGGAGCGGGTATGGAAGGGAAAAGGAAATGGGTGGCGCAGGGAAAAAAAGAAGGTTGTAGGACCGGCGCCGGGAACAGGCAGATCAAGTAGGTGATGCACGGTTGGCAGATGGGTCAGGCATGCTGAGTGCCTCCTCCGCATGGCAGCGAAGAATTGTAATCTGGGGGCCCACTGTAAGCTGGAGGGTTGGATCCTCCCCCCAGTCCCCCACCGATAGTACGGGACGCGCTAGGATGGTAGCGCAGCTCGTGGCATCCATGCCGCAGACGCAACGGAGAAGGATGTTAGCCTATTACTCCTTTGACAGCCATGTCTATACGAAACGTACAATAGCCGGCGTGGGGAAGTCTTGTAGAGGCTACAGTGGAGTATGTAGACTAATCTAATAGTACGACTCCAGCTTGATGGTCAGCGTCTTTGGCGCACTGATACTACTAGTAGCATGCGACATGGCCCCAGAAGCTCCTCGGAATCCTTTAGACTGCATGTCATCAACGTGCTTCCCGTCCCCCGCACACACATAGACACACAGCAAAGTGCTCGATTAGGGCAGAGGTGAACAATTGAGCGTCATCTGACCAGCATGAGATCAGGCATGCAGTCAACACAAGGACCACGCCCGGCAGGCCCGGGGTCCCACTCTATTGTCAACACTCCATGACTCTGGGCGCTGCACCAATGATTCGGTGGCGCCTGTCTAGGTCGTGTAGAGGCATGTGGCCGGTTCCTCTTCGGTTGATATGGAAGCGAGAGCCGACGGTTGGTTGGTAGAGTAGACTTGGAAGGTTGTGGCTAGAAGCCACATTCGCATCTTTACAAAATCCAAAAAAACGCCCCTCGTCAACGGTCGCGCGAGATGTGTCGATGTGCATGTTTTCTTTGCTCGTCATCATGTTTGGCCCATGCATGAAAGAGGGACGATCCGCATGGAAGTCGTGTGTATCACGCTACTATGGTGCCATTCGGAGCAAGGTTCCCCTATCCGCTGGGGCCTGAAGAAGAAACCAAGAAGTGGCCTTGGACTGGCAAAGCAGTCATGGTATCTGCTCGTCTTCGCACTGGCCTATCGGCGCACATCGATCTTGTTAAAGCTCCGACAAGCAGGCGGGTAATCTACCTGACCTTCCTGAAGCGTGTGGATAATGTGCGATACTACGTCTGGCGGGCGCTCAAACTTCAGGCCATCATGGCGCAACAACCACACGGCGGAGCATCCACGCCATCAACGATCTAGCGCGCCCTGCGTCACGGCATGGAACACATGCACATGGGCGGGCCAGCCAATCAGCAGGGCGTATGGTGATGGCCTGTGAGACTGACGACGCGGGAGATGCACCCAGGTCGTGTTTTCGGAGCAAAGGGTAGCAAGATAGGCCCTACTCTGTACAGTATTCTAGAATCCCGGATAAAAGGAGTCAGAGGCGGCACGTAGATTGTTTCTTTCGCCTAGTATGCTAGTGTAGCAGCACATCAATATAGCCTAGCCGTGCGTGAGACACATGCAAACAAACTCTACTTGGTGTCAGTACAAATCAGCAACGCATTACCCTCGATAATCCCTCGGAATAATTACTTTTGACCAGTGGCTGGCTATGCACACGGGGGGGGGGGGGGGTCGATTGATTGATCTTACCCCGGAAATAGCAGTGTTGGCCGCGTTGTCACAAGAGACGCTAGTCCCCTTCCGGCCAGCCAAGCTCTGCGCCCCAAACATGTGCAATATCGCTTCAACACGTCCTGTTCGTCCAGAGGTCCTGTCCAGCACGCTCGTCGCTCCGTTTCAGAGCACGCAACCGCCCAATCCAGCGCCTTGCCATGCACAGTAGCCTCGACGTTGCATTATGGCCCGCCTGCCACGACATTGGCCATGCTATAGCAATGGGTGGCGTTACGAACCGCTTGACCGGGAATGGGAACATGTTTGCGCGTGAGCACAACCAGACCCCAAGCCCTGCGTTGTTGACAAAGTTATATCATGCCAAGCTAGAGCACTGTCACGAGCGCGCTACCATATGCCATTGGTGCTGGCAGCAGGGCTGAAGCCCTTCCGAGACATCCGTAACCAGCTCCAGGGTCTGCAGATCATCTGGCCCATATCTTTGTTTCCAGAATCCAATGCCTAACTATACTCCTATGGGACCCGACCTTCGCTTCTTCCCGCAAACAATCGACTGGAGCGAAACGAATCCATTCCGAACGAACGTGCACCTCTGATCTTGCTGGCCCAAAAAAGGAACGCCACAAAAGCACCTGACATGGCGGAATTGCCTGCAAAAGAATAGCCTAGTTACACTTTTGTCTTTTTTAGCGCAATGTCCTGGCCCACGCCAATTGGAAGTGGCAACAACGCCAAGCACACTTAAGCCTCCATACAGAACAGGTATACCCATGCCCTGAAAAAGGCCGTAACCATCTGATCTGCACTCCGTCGTGGGGGGAGGGAAAAAATTGAGGTCATTGCTGACAAGACAAAGAAAACGCGGTCACTGCGCTGGTCCAGTCGGAGGAGAGTGGCAAAGGGGCGGTGCAAAAACAAAAAGACAGACAGCAAAAAGACAGTGGTAGGGAGGAAGGTAAGTAGCGAAGAGAGAAAAATAGTATCCGAGCTTGTCTACGTAAGTAAGCCAATCTTGGGACCACATCGTGTGTGTGTGTGTGCGTTGTTCAGGACCCTAAAATGAATAACAAAAATGAATTCTCCAATCAAAATAACAAGTTTAAGTTTACACAATGTTTCTTATCGCAGCTGAGGAAGACGGGAAACAGGCATTGGCCCCGCCGAAAAAAAGGGCCTTTCTCTCTCTCTCCAAAAGATTTGGGGGGCAACATGTTGTAAATTCTGACACTTCTCTCTCTACTTACCGCAAATAACTCTGAAGCAAAAAAACCCAATCTGCGCGAAAACATGTTCTACATGTTGTCATGTTCGGGCCTTTTTTTTTCCAAATCAATGTGCAATAGATCCTATGAGTTTACCGTTTATGGAATTCTGGATAACGCGCGATGAGAAATACCGGCATATATTTTTATTTATTTATTTTGGTCTTTGCTGCGTTCGTACGAATGAAGGGAAAGGTAGCATTAGCACTTTAGAATAATATCCTTGTTGGTTTTCGGAATCGAAAAATACTTGTCATGACACAGAGGGGGTTTTTTTTTAAAAAAAAAATTCTGTAAACAGCAACTGTCAAAAATTTCTCTATTCCATCTTCTCTCAGGAATTTCAGAGGTCGCTCTCTCTCTCTCTATCTCCAATTCCCCATTCCTTGAAGGAAAACACAGTTGCGGGGATAGTTTTTTTAGGGATTTTAATATCAGAATAGGTGACCCTCTGCGGACCTTTCTCAATCACGAAATCTAATCATTCAATTACTCCCAGCGTAGAGGGAACTTCAAAGGAAATATTAGATAGACGTTGCGGCAATTCGTTTCTTGAGATCGTCATCCATTCAAGGGCGGGTATTATCACTGCTAGCTTCTAATGTTTCTTTTCTACCACAATCTAATTTTTAGTTTCATAAACAGAAGAGGCTTCTTTTTATAATTTGCCTCTTCAAGCTCTATTTTCTCAAGAACGGCGAGTTCCTTGGTACTCCTTTGTACCTAGAGCCTTCAATGCAAGCGATTTAACATGTTGAATTTTGTCATGGCTGGGGATTTACTTCTCGATAATCGATAAATATACTCTAATATCCTGTATCAACATCACCTTGATCGACGATAATCGAAACGGGCTCTGGGATAGTAATACCAACAAGGGCGTCAGAACGATATGTGTATCTCTCATGGTATACTGGTAAAGCAAGAGGGTTCCGATCACGGCTATATACAAATATTCTTGAAGACTGCAAATTTCGTCTTGCCACAGTAGCTCACTGTATTGCTACACTTTCCTACGTGTAAGGGGATTTAGGAAGGGGGGAGGGGGGGGGCTGGTAGGTAGAGAATTATGGGACTGTCGAATGCGTAAAAGGGGGAGGTGGTACCTGTGGAATATTATCTCGCCGATGGTAGGATTGGATATCTGAGCGCATGTATACAGTTTCATGGTAATTTTTACTTACATGAGGTCTTCATATTGTACATCCTGCATGCATGCACTAGGCCTTGGATTTGCCATTCTTTGTTAAGTACATAGCTGTTAGTTATAAATATCGAGCTAACGATTATACACGTCTTGGAACTCGATTCAGGGGAAGATATAGGCCTGGTTCGATTTCATTGACATTTTCGGAATCCTTAGAACAGACCCCTTCTTCGAAACGTTTTGTTGGTTATATAGCCATTGGTTGCTGAGGACACGATGATATTGATCCACATCGAATAATTATAACTTGACCATGTTCCGAAGGCTGGTTTCATTAAGCAGGGATTCGAGCAGGAATAGAAGACAAAGATCATAGTGCTTGAAAATTTCGCATTTTCATGTAACGACTAGAGGGCAAAGAGTCCATCCTCTTCCTCTCTTTACACCCATCGATGATTAAATGCATCTCACCATTTCCAGCCTGTGTCAACCTTGCATCATCAGATAAAAGTCCAGAAGAAGTATATGATGTGCTGTAGAGCTTTTTCTCGTCCTTTTCGCTACGTTTGCCAATTGCGATATTCTACATAACACTCCCACTATTGGAGGTATTACTGGTCATGCGTTAGAAAGTAGGGGCACTCAGTAGCTACTTTTGGAAGAACTGTTGAAGTATTTCTGCGGCTTCTTATAGAAAGTTCATACTATGACTGGATAGGTCGACCAGTCTTACATCCAGTATCCTATTGGGCGAGTGTCTGATACTGGACTGAGTCAATCTGTCACTTTAGTGTGATCAAGAAAAGTCTCGTGGGAACACTTGACACTAGAACAATGACCAGGTGTCTAGGGTTTTATTTGGGAGGCTACGTATTTCACCCTGGTGCTATTTTGGTAGGCAAAGGAGAGGTGATGATCTTGCCATAACAATTTGCATCAGTATCTCCATCCCCAGGAGAGCGACCTTAGAGGAATCTTTCGAAGAATGAAGCCGACATATCACCAAGAACCGGATCAATCTACTGAGGAGAGTTTTCTTGGATGACCTCTTCGCAGCTACTTTACAGAATCGACAGGCCACTACATAAAATCCGCCATCACCTCAACGAGAAACAGTACCTTGCCTTCAAGCTCCATTCCAGACGACCTTGAGACATACCTAGAAGTATCACCCTATGCTAGTACACACTCTTCTGGTATCCAAAGAGCCCGAGTCTCATGCTATCCAGAACCCCCCCCCCCAGACATCTCAGAAGCACTCGCTTCCGCCATTGCAACAGACAGTTACGGTGGAATTTAGTGAATGAGAAGTCTGAGCAGCCTGGAAACAAGGATGAATTACAGTTTGGTGTGCTTACAAGTCTAAAGCCTTGAGTGAGAAAGTCACAAGGAAATATGACTCAGCCTGACATCTGTTGAGATGCCACTGCCATCAGTCTCTAGGGGGGGGCTTCAAATAAACCTTGTATATGCTGTGGTGCGTTCTCAGACACATGTGGAAGCGGGTCTCGTGGCTTGTGCATATAGTGGCTATGGATGCGATGCCCAGACGTACTAGGAAATGGTTGAGCAGTGCCCATATGTTTTCTGATGGTGCAATATAGGCTGTACCATTAATTTCGAAGAAGTGTACTAGTAGTGACAGAAGAAATAGCATGGTATCTTGATACTAGAACGTCACCTCCATTTCTCCTGCGCCTTATTTACTAACAACAGGAAAGGTAAGGTTCGGACTACTCTAGTTGCTTACGTCAAGACTGCTCTTCTTTCTTGACCAAACAAAATGCGATTAAACATTTTTGAGAGACTCTCGGGCTACATATTTACTATCTACTAGACTATCTCAGTGATGCCCTATAGCAAAATCCTCCCCAGAAAGTATCCATCCACGAGACCAAGCAACCTATTTTCCACAGCTTGGACCGCCTACTCTTTGCCGTGTATACACGCCCTCGTATGGCGCAGATGAGAAAGTAAAACAAATTATGCAAAAATTGTGTATATAAAAAATGCGTCTCTAACAGCAATGCCTTCGTATAATCGTTTGATGTGTGAATCTAAGAGTATAAATGAACGAGTAAACTCTTTTCAAGCAAAGATTGGAAAAGACTGAGAAGCTGCAAACGGCCATCTAGATTCAGTATTAAATAGCCAAAGAATAGATGATTTTATTTAAGAGAAATAAAAGAGTTGGATAGGAGAATCATCATCATCATCATCGCAGTGGGGATGGCGCTCGCCCATCTACGGGGGTTGGCTCTGTAGTAATCTGTATACTGGGCAGCCGTTCCAGGTCCAGATTCAGAGCCGGTAATTGCGGGGCTCTGGTATTGATAGGGCTTTCGTAGTTTGGTGGGTCTTCGTATGCAGGGGCTTCTTCTGCTGGAATGTCTACGTGTGGCGACGGTGCGCTGCTTCCACTGCGACTTGTTTCTGGGTTTAGAGATATCACCTCGAACCCTTCACTGTTGCCGTTCGAATGTGAGTGCGAGCTGGTACGGGAAGCATCGGCAAAGTCGTAGTCGTCGGATCCGTGGGACTCGACAGATTGGGCGAGGGAGGTTACGGAGAGGCCGCGTTGATGGGTATCGTTAGTGTAGCCACGAGACCGACCGCCTCCACTAGCAAACGAGGCGGCCGAGTCAAGCAGGGGACGATGGTCGCTCTCTGAAGAGTTTGCGCGTAAACGAGTGCCATCGTGCCTTGCAACACCGAGATCACCATAGGCTACAGACGAGACTCGTTGCTCACGGCTTCGTGTTCTGGCTTGATGCTCTGCAATGAGCATTTGTGATACAGAGAGATCTGCTGCCTCTTCTGCTCTTCGTCGAATGTCTGCAAGTGCCTGGACGTCGCCTCGTGCCCGTGCCTCTCTCCGCGCTTGTCGGCGTGCTTCTCGTTCCGCTGCTTCGACTCGTCGTGCCAGTCGGATTTGGTACAGAGACTCCATCTCCTGCTCTCGTTGCATTTCTTCTTCGTCTTGTGTTTCTGGGAGTTCAATGACGTTGTCCATGCCTGCCCGTTCGCCCTCTCGTGCCAGCACCCTCTCGTTTTCCCTCGCGGCGGAAGAGTATGCAGGGAGCGTCATAACACTGCGAATTGAGGTATTCCGGTCAACGCCATTCGCGTTGGTGCTGCCAATGTGCCTCTCGGGATCTCCTGTTGCTGCGCCGCTCATCTCACCGCTTGCTCTACTGGTGCTTCCGCGGTACTCGGTATCCTGCAAACTGGTCGAGTACTCATTTCGGCGCGGGCGCTTGCGGAAGTTCTTCCACGAGAACAGCGAGGGTAGCTTGTCTTTTTGTGCCTGTTGGGCTTTGCGGGCGTTGGCGGACGGTGCGCGATACTTTATGGTGAGGAAGTATGTGATTATGAGTATCGTAAAGATACCTCCGGTAGCGATTCCAACCTGTGTGGCAAAGCGTTAGCAAAATTTGAGTCGGGCAAAGCGTTTGGGGTTGGTTGTAGCAGGCGGGCAAGGACGGGAGGGATTCGACATACAACAACAAAGGTCCTGGCCTGGTTGGAGAGTTCTCGTTTCCCCAAAGCCTCGTCGGTGGCATGATGGGCGGGCAAAAACATAGTACTGATAAGACCCTGTACCGGTCCGGTCGGAAGGTCGAAACGTCGAAACGGCCAAACGGTCAAACGGTAAGTGCGTCAACCAAGAAGTGTGAACGGAGCTTTGTTTTCGCAATGAGATCACTCGTTCCGAGTAGTGTGGATCGCCCAGGCTTCGGCAGGCCCGCGTCCTCGGCCTTGTTATGCGCTACTAAGAGGCGTCGAACCGTTGCGGCCAAACAGCCAGGCAAGCGTCGCGAAGCCCGTGTCTGTGGTTAGGATGTTCGGCGTTATAGGTGTATAGAAATGGGAACAAGTGAACAGCAATGGGGAGGGGAACTGGTGTAAGCTATGTTCTGGGCTGCGCCCGGATACCTGCCTTGGCGGCTGGCTGATGAATGATGCAGAATGCTGTGTTGATTGGAAGCTGTGGCCAGGGGTCTGTGGCTGGGGCCCTAGGCTAAGGAGAAGGCTGCGTATACATCCCAGCTTCAAAAGAAACATGTACATGTCACTATCATGCCGATTGACCACTTTGCTGTCCACATGCGGGGTTCTGGCATCACCGGCACCATCATCGACTTTTACCTCTAGCTTTCTCACATCAGCGTTGGGAGGCAAACTCTAGCCTTGTCATTCCAAAAGCCTCGTGCTATTTTTGGGCGCTTGCAGACTCAAGGATACGCTAGCACCAAATTCTGATTAGACCTAGTCCTCGGCCGGCATAGCAACCGCAAATTCACGTGCGTATTCATGCGTCGATCTATCCCCTCAAAGTGGCACAGTCGACCTTGTCCCCCTTGTGGCGGTGAAATGTATACAGGGGTATGTTTGTAATTTCATCAATCAAGGCCGTCACTCCGTCACACGTCTACGCTTGCTAAAAAAAGTTTCAAAGGAGGTACAAAAACATTGCGCTCGTTTGACGGGCCCTCAAAATTTCTTGTCCAATTTCTTCAAGAAACTGCCAATGCCCTTCTCAACCTTGTCTACCCGTTTGCCAATGTTGGAGTTGCGTTGTGGTGCATTCGGGTTCTCGTGGTGGTGCACAGCAGCTTCGCTCTCAGTCGGCCTATAGACCTGCTGGTGTATGTTCTGCGCTTGTGTTGCCTGTGCTGCTGTACTACTGTATTGAAATTGTGAGTAGCCAGGAGAAGCCATGGGCTGGTACTGCTGGGGTGGAAAGCCAGGCGAGGGCACGGCTGAATGTGCTGGAGGAGACTGAGGAGCTGGAGGAAAGCCAGGAGAATTGGGGTAGTTGGCACTGGCATACTGTTGAACAGGCATGGTCGAAGTCCGGCTCAATCCTGGCGGGGGTGGAGTGTTGTTGACTTGACCTAGGGGAGGAGCAGATGGTGGTGGCGCAAATGATGGCGGGCTCTGCGGTGCACTTGGTACTGACCCTGTAGTGTTTGTACGCTGCACACCAGGTGGACCAGTGAAGCCTTGTCCTGGAGCAGGTGGTCCAGGAAAGTATGCTCCCGACGTTGGCTGGGGGGCGAACGATGCTTGTAAAGGATTGCTGTACTGCGCGGCATGCTGGTCATGCACAGCAGAGGCTCCAAGACCAGTTCCATCACTGGCATCTTCTGGCGGGGGTGTCTTCTCGCGATGAGCAATGGGTTCAGGGGCGGCAGGCGCAGCAGGGTTGTAAGCCATTGGGGCGTAGTTGGGCGGTTGCTCGCTTGCAGGGGGTGATGTTGGTGGGGGAGCACTTGGAGGACCAGGGAATGACTGTGTAGTGCTGATACTTGGGCTCCGGCTAGTATGTGATATCGCCGCATTCTCTAGTCGAGCGATGACGGGACTGAACGTATCGTTCTTGTGCTCGGAGTGTATTGGGGTTGCATTGGGGTTGCGCGTGATCTGCAGTTGGTGTGGCTGTAGTACTCTGCGGATGGAGTCTAGAAAGAGACTCGCGTCCTCTGGCGTCCAAAAGTATATATCTACTGTATGTAGCCTGTACATGTATTTGCCCTGGTTCGAGGGGTCAGGGGTAGGGAGGTGCCATTGCGACATGTCCTGATGAGGGCTTGCGGTTCCATTGTGGCTTTGAAATGCGTCGACTGTCAGGGTGAACAGACATGGGTGCTTGTATGTCTGCTCAATCTTCACTGTGTCCAGCTCTGTGCAGTACCCGCCATCAGCCTTTGCGCCCTGTAAGACATATCTTTTCGCGAAGACTTACGACCGGCAAATGCATCTTGATGGGGAGTGCCTGCATGGTTTGCTATCTCGATGCGCCCACTCTGGCGCATGGGATTGTGGTAGAGATAGACATAGGAGCTCTTGTCGAAGCGGTGGTGCGGGGGGTTTTGTGTAGGCGGAGAGATGTAGTAGTGCACATCTGCGAAGCTGTGGAAAATGTCAGAAAATAGGGCGTTTCCCGCCTAAAGGCGTACTACTTACAGTGTCAAGAGTGACACTTCACCCTGCTGTGGAGGCATTGTGTTAGTGTGAGTGTGTGTCTAGTCGGGCGTCCAAGCTATCTGACAGCCTAATATGTGGAGAAGGCTGCGGCTGAGTAGTAGTAACGCCAGATTGTTAGCATTCAAGACGAGCATGGAGAAATCAAAGGCATATATAGGGTACAAGGCTATCATGTAATCGGACCATAGCTCCTGGCAATAGCTGCGTAGACTTCTATTTGTGTCGTCCTCGAAGCGCCCGCCTGTTAGCGGGGGAGTTGACTAGGCGCTGGCAAGCTTCCATCGAATCGCAGTCGCCGAGGGACGATCCACCCGTGACTTGCGGACTTCCGAGCCAATCCAGAAATTTGCTGCAATTGAACAATCCGCCAACAACACCACGACGCGCAATTGAGCCTCGCCGCTACGTCGAGCATCGCCGCCAACTGATTGCGAAGCCAGTACAGCCCATCGCCTGGAGAACATAACCCCCCTCCCTCCCCCGCCATCGCGCCCGCTCGCTTCTCAGCCCATTGAGGGCAAAATCCTATCATCACCACCGCCATGTCTCTCGTCAACCTAGCACACGTGTGCTCGCACATGCAAAATGCATCCAAAGCCAGACTCGGGCTGACGTCAATACCCGTCTCTAAAATGCATGTCAAAATTGCGCTGGGCCTACAGCGCGAAGGCTTCCTCTCTTCTGTCACACTCGGCGGACCCACACCACCAAAGCCTTTTCTCCTACAAGCACAACAAGATCCCGAGCAATTAGAACATATGGCGCAAAAGCTCAAAGACGAGCCCTGGCTTGCCTACCCAGTCACGACTCCACGAGGCCAGAAAGAGCAGGCGCCACTCGGCCACGAGCAGGTTCACGACGTACACGTACCAGAGAACCCGGCGCGGAGGAGATTATGGCTGGGACTGAAGTACTGGCAGAACGAGCCAGTTCTGACCAACATGAAGCTGATCTCAAAGCCCACACGGCGGATATGGCTGACGAGCGAGGATCTGGGCAAGATTACACGAACGCGCGAGTCGAGCTACGTAAAGGGACTTACGCATCCTGGCGAGTGCATGTTTGTCACGACAGATCGGGGCATCCTAGAGGCAAGAGAGTGTGTGGAGCGGCAATTGGGAGGCATGGCTCTTTTCAGAGTGTGGTAGCAGCAGTATCACTGTACTATGTATTTTGTAAGAGGTCTTTGCACCGGTATCACGAGAAAGAGGAATTGCATATATGGGAGCAGGGCCGGCATGGAATCCGCGCACCATGCATTTTGTACAAAAGATATCAACTACATTCTCATACCGCAAGTTGTCAAGCCGTGTTTTTTGTAACCATGGGAAATGCCTTGCTGGTCATGCCCAAAGCTCTTCAGAGGCCCTATGAGAAAGAATTGCTCGTGTGGTGTTAGCTCACTAGCGTCGTGGTCGGGCTGCAGCGGTGTAAGGCGTGTCAGGGACTCAGGGTCGATGCGAGTCAAACGTCGCCCTATGCAAACCACGGATATCCCAGCATCAACAACTTTGTTTTCTACGTGGTTGACCGGTTTTTTGTCAATTGACACGTTGTTTGGCCCCACACAACTTAGCCGTTGCTAGTGTGAGCAAGTCTGTGTTTGCCCAAGTCATCATGGCCATGTTATTGTTGGTGAAGTTTGAAATCATTCGAGATTATGCGGCTATCTACAATAAACAAACAATGCAAAACCTCGACACTAGGGGATATCCTCATACAATCGTCGTAATCGTGCCAATTCATTCCACTTGTGTTCCAATACCTGCACCTGCAGACATTGGCGAAATGGCGGCATTTCCAAGAAAATTCGTAATATAATCACATTCGTCTGCCACATGTTCCCAAACCCTCGTGGGTCCCGGATTCTCATACTCATGATATTCTGATTATGCAAACGTTTCATACTCGTGACAGCAAGCGCTTATACAACATAGCTGCGTCGGCTGCGGCTGCGGCTGCGGGTGGAGGAGTAGCGGGGGCTACGAGAGCGGTGGCCGTGACGAGATCGGTGAACTTCGCGCTTAACGATGACACGATCTTCACGGTGATGGCGGCTAACGAGCAAGGCCAGGATTGAAGTGATGAAGAAGAAAATGATGTTCCTGAGTTCGGTGTTAGTACCAGCGTACTTGTTTATCGGGTTGAAATACTTACATGATTCCGAATGCCCACGACGCCTTGAGCATAGCACAGGAACGGTCCACGTCCAAACCCCAGGTGTTTCCAGAAACGGTGAACAATCCCAGATCGGTGCTGTAAGATCCTCTGCGATTGATGCTGGAGCAGTCTGCATCAGCGATGCCTCGGAGCGCATAGACGGCACCAATAAAGGCGCCAACGAACAAGAGGTCGACAAAGGCAACGAATTTAGCGGAGTGCCTGGCGCGTGTGTAGAGAAAGAGAGTGGCCATGACCCATGCTGCACCGAGTACCGAGACGATGAAGAGAACAAGAATGGATGTTGGGGTGAGGAGCTGGCGCGAGTTGTACCAATCGACGAACCAGGCCAGCATACCCAGCGTCGGTATGAGGGTGACGAACTGGAAGATGCGCCAGAAGATGAAGGACAAGCCGGCGAAGGACATGATGGTAGTCGGTGCGGGCAAGGCGGCCTCGACGCAAGAGAGAGTTATGTGTAGTGGGAGAGGAGCAGATGGGTGAGGCCCGGTGGGGTACTACTGCAATGCGACGAGAAGATGCAGAATGACGACGCGCAGAAGCAGAAGAAGGGTCGAATGGTGTGCTTTTATGATTTGGAGCGGTCCAGGGTCAGTTTCTGCCTTGCCTACGAGCGGGCGATGGTATGCGACAATGCTCGGGGAGGTGAGCCGATGTGACGTATTGTAGATGGAAACCGGGCGCGATACTTTAAAGTGGGCATGGGCGAATGGCGGGGGAGGCTGGTATTGTGTGGCTGGATGGTGCATTCTGCATTTCTGGCCAACCAACACACCACCATGTCCTCGTCAAACAACATACCCACTCACCCACACCACCCATACACACACCGGCCTCGAGCCAGCAGCCGCTATCAAACGTCTTCGCAGCGCTAACCCTCTATCCACACGCCAGACCCCCAATCCTCGGTGCATCATCGCTACGCTGGGTTCGCGTCCAAGCCGCCAGCGCACATAGGCGGGCATGAGCGGTGGGCCTAGGCAGCTTGAACACACACAGCTGTCGCCGCCCAACCCACTTCCCGTGTGCCAGACGCACCACTGAGAGAGATGGATGCCATCCAATCCAGCATTCCCCGGCCCCGCCCTGCAGGCGAGCTTTTTGCTCATCATCCAGCGCTCTGGGTCCAAGCTCCCCTACCCTAGGTGTAGTATGTACGCTATCTGCGTCTCCAGACCAAAGTTGAGCCCTGTGTCAATCTGTCAATCCCGAGCCCGTGTCAATCATCGTTCTCCAAGTATGTAGAGTGCAGTATCCCATGCTAGCGTCTCCTGAACGTCACACTGTGTCAGCAAGATTCGACTCCCGTCGTGCCGTCTCCGTCCCCTATTCAACAGCAAGGAGATTGCTGACGCCTGAGACGAGCACAACAGCCGGCTTGTCAACATACTCGGCTGGGCCACTTCTCCGCCTTTGACCCCCGACACCAAGACATGCACTGCTATTGGCCTCCCTGTCCGGCTATGCAGCTTTCCTGCAAAGACGTCGCTTTTGCTCTGTGGCTGCTCGCTTCGCGGATGAACATGCAGCAACCGGTAGGCGTAAAGTTCTTATCAGCAGCCAGTCCGCATCTGACACTGCCCTGTGCTCCGCATCCTGAGTGCCGGGACGGACAGACATCAATCTTCGAGAACAGCTAGATTCCAATATGTATTGCTCCAGCCCATGCAGCTGCAGGCAACCTGGTCAATCCCAAACCTATCCCGCTCTCCATACTTTCTGGACCTTTGTTTGTGTTCTTATGTGCCTGTGTTGGTTGCCTTGACGCCTTCCTGCGGCGTAGTCGCATTTCTTTCAGCTGCGCTCTTGCCTGTCCTATTTCAACCGAGTACTACGACTTTGGCAAATCGTCCCAACATATATTGTCCTTTTGTTGATGACACTTCGGCTATGCTGCACAATTGAAGTATCCACTGGAAACGTTAAGCCATCAACCAGCGCCACAGATTGTCTGACACGAAAGTATCCAAATCCCCCGAATCCCCGTCAGATTCGCCCAGGAAAGTTTTCTGGATATTCGATACTGCCCTCACACGACCCCACATCACTACCAAGGACGTATCTCTAAACACAACTCAGGGGTTCCGTCTGCAATATCGCTTAGAAATGTCGGCTCGAGGCGCTCGAAGTCGGAAAGTCCAGCAAAAGCAAGTCGAGAAAAACGAAAAAAAGGGCTTAACCAAAGGCAAATCCCCAGAACCCATCTCTGAAAGTCATGATACATTTGCAGAATGGCACACTTCGCCCGAAATCACTAGCCCAAGGACCGGTATTTCTCGTTCTCTCACAGTGTCTAGCAGCAATACAGATGTGTCGTCGGAAAGTCGGTCGCGAAGAATAAAACCATCAACAGCTGAGTCGGCCTCGGTGTCGGACGTGTCTTCGAAGGGCAAAGAGAATATGAAACTTCAGGGCAAAGGCAAGGATACTGCAGCACCTCGCGGCAGAGGCGGGGGCGTCCCAACAAAGAAAACGGTTGCGTCTTCACCTATACCTCCAGTATTTCGATCTGAGCCGGCAGCTCCCTACTCCTTGTCGCCTAATCAAAAGACATGGATGAACTTCAAAGTATGGAAAGGAGGCAAAGACGGAATGCGCCCTTACGGAGGGTTTGAATATGTATGTATTCGTTACTGATTCGTAGCATCACGCTTGTCTCTGACATAATGTACCAGGATGAAGACATGCAGCATGGGAGTGTGCTCATTTACTTCAAAGAGGAGCAGGCTGACGATGATCGCCCAATGCCCTCTATAAGAGCAGAACTGGAAGTACTGCAGAATGCAGGCTCTACTTGGCTGAACAACGCTCTGCTCTACGGTCAAATAGACGACAACGATGTCGATGACTGGACACTTTCGGAAAGCGCAAGCTCGGCATCTGGGCGGCTTTCGCCAAATCTTCCACAATCTACTCAGACACGAATGCTGAGTCCAACTTCTTCAAATGGGAGATCTCCATCATCCTACAATATCGACCAAGTACATTCTAGTATAGATTCTAGAGCTGCCTCCAGGAATCACCATCTAGATCGTTCAAGCTCGCCTCCGTCGTTTCGTCAGACCAAAAAATGCAATGCTACCCATGAGATATGGTTCACAGCACCAAGCAAGGTGAAGACGCCTCAGGCGCAAAGATTACACTTTGTCGCTATCCGCAATTTTTTGGCAATGCTGCATGGAAAGCCCATCGTCGGTTCAGATGTGTATGAAATGCTGTGCACACTACAACCAGAGATACAAGTGATGTACGACCTTGATTCAGATGCCAGATCAGGCATAATGGCTCGGGAGCGTAGCGTACAAATGATTACAAACTACCTGGGTCAACACGGCTTAGACGACTTGCGCGGCAATATCCAGCATGCTCTTGGACTTCTCGCATGGGCGGAGCAAGACACTGTGAGATGGAGACAAGGATACCTCGAAAGTTTTGTCCACTTGTCTGGCGTCATGACACCAGAACTTGAAGACCGTTCAGACTTTAAGCGTTTGTCAGTCGTCACTCGACGGAACCTAGGCATTGCCGGAAAGACGTTGCGACTGCGTATCATGGAGGCGGAGGATAAACTGTCCAGTTTCGACTTCAGTGATCTATGGGAAGATATGCCAAAGGCCACCAATAGTCCGGTTTACCAGAGCTATCAACATTTTCGACAGTTTCTCATCTCCCATTTCACAGGTATCTACGGCAATTGGCCACCGAGTTCTGACAAAACCTGGCTCAACCGCAAAGTGGTGCATGGACTACAGGAAGACTTTGGGTCTCTTTACGAATATTTTGTCGATCGAGATGTTTTCTGGAATCCCAGGGAAGAGCGCGCAACTAGAAAATGGGAGATGGCCCATCGCAAGAATGATAACTTCAGTGCAGATCTACCGGAGCTTGGAATGACGGACATGTTGGTCAGATACGACGCGAAGAATGGCTATGCACATATACCACATCCATACCCTTTACTGCCAAGGGAGGTACCAAAAGATGTCAAAGAAAAAGAGAAGAAGGGCTTCTTTGCATCACTGAAGAAGGATAAGGCCAAGGATACCACAAAAGACGCGAAAGCAAACTTGCAGCTTTCTATTATCTTCAGTGATGCGACGAACATTGAAAAGCTAGAGGCCAACTTCCATGGTAAGCTGATGTTATCGGGAGACTACAGTAACTTTGTTCTGACCAGTGTGCTACCCAGGATCTACTCTGATCGATAAATGCGAGCAATTCGAGCTCACGACCAACCTGAAGCAAATGTCGCCACGCGAAGCACGTCTCGGACGCTGGGTGCTTCTCTACGGAATCCTTCAAGTCCTCTCCACTCTGTCCGTTGACGTCCAAGGCCTTAAGTACACTGACGGGGTCCGATACTTCCTCAATACAGACTTGAAGCGCCTGCCTGAATGGGTGAGTAACGGCCAGGCAGAGCACTTGGAAGCCACACAACAGCAATCATGGTGCTGGCAGCGTTCATGGGACCCCATGCCCATTCCCAACGCCCCTGTGGAACTCGAGGCCCCACTGCGTAATGAACGCACCAACCGTTCCGACAACTCGCGCAGTGTTGAAGCAGCAGCGCATTCTTTTCCTAGCCCACCGCCTCAACATGCACTACCCCCACCCCCACCCAGTCTTGATGGGGCGACCCTGATGCAAAACGAAATCCAACGTCTCGGCGAGAAAATCGACAACTTCTCCCTGTCCCACAAGGCAATTCCTAGCTTGAACGAAGACTACGAACGCGTGATACAAGATGGAATGCACGATTGGAAACCACGATTACAAGGCGAGACGTTTAGACCACGCGCAACGCGTGAGAGCCATCGCGATAACACAAACACCACCAACGGCAATGCTATCCTGAGTCCAAGAGTAGACTCGCTCTCTCACCATCATCCCGAACCCGCTCTCCCTCCACCCCGAACCCAGTCGCGCATGGAAGACAGTTTCCGGCTTACAAGACCCGACTTTGACAGCCCAGACAACTCGTTTCTCGACCGCCGACAACCCAACAGCGTGCTCCAGCATCCGCTCAACACTTCTGCGCGGAGCCATGCTAATATTACAAGTGTGGATACAGACCTCGGAAGCTATCCCTTTAGCTCGAGCGAAATGCAATGGCCCGTTCCGCCAGGGTACACGGAAAGCAATGCCAACGCGTTGTTTAACAATCGGGACAGCACGGTACTGGGGAATAACCAAGGGCAGAGGGAATACGGGACAGGAGCGAGGATGGGTCAGCGGCGGGTGCGTGATAGGAGCGGGTGGGATTAATGACGAGGTTTTCTTTCCGGTTATTTCAGGGGGTCAAAAAAGGCAAAAAGAAAGGGGTATGTGTGTGGGTGTGGAACAGGACATGGCATCTAATCTTGAGGGGGCGAAATGTTGGATACCCTTTCTTTTTTTCTAGTTGTTACTTTTTAATCGTATCATGCTTATCTGTGGGCTGGCATTGGGGTGAGAGAAAAAAGTAATATGGTTTGTAGTTCACAGGGTAGTGAGGGTCCTCGGCGTACGAAGAAAAAGTCCAAAAAGGCGTACGTATGTATGTGTGCATTAAAAATATATGAGGGAGTATTTCTTTACTACGTATACTTCATGTTTGATCGTCGTCATCATCCATTGCCTAGTGAGAAGAAAGCTCTTCTCTTCTCACGGGCTTCCTGCTCTGAAGGTAGGGTCTCGTTCCTTGGCCGCCCGCGCTTCCCTTTCTTGGGCATAGATTTTGGCGCACTGGATGGCTTGCCTGTGGCTGGCAACGGTGCCGTAGACTTGACTACTTCCTTGATAGTCTGTTTAGAAAGACAAAAGTCAATGTGCGCATTGAAACTCGCGTCGTCTGGGGGTTGCGGAATGTTGCAGATGGGACATTGCCACTGTGTGTTGGGGGCGGCCTCCTTGTCCTGTTGTTCTTGTTCTTGCGATAGCTTCTCGAGCTCATTCATTTCATCATTACGTTCCTGTCTCGCAGCTTCTTCAAATTCTTCTTCGGGCCAAGTTTCCCATTCCTCATCTTCTTTCGGCTCCGGCTTTTTGGTAGTGGCTGAGGATGCCTTGGCAGCACGACCAAAGAAGTCGATTCCAGGCTTCTTGGTGCTGATGATATGTGTGACTCGTAGACCCATCAGCCGCAACCGCATGTTTGGGATTTCCTTCATGAGCTTCTCCAGTATTGGCAGACTATACTTGTACAAATCTTCTGCTTTGTGGACGGCAAACGGCGGCGTGATTTGTCGTGTATGCACTTCGTACGTGTGAAGTTTGATCTTGATACAGAGGGTCCTGCCTTTGTATTCGGTGCGCTTGAGATCGCCTTCCAGCTCTTCAGCTACGAAACGAAGCTTCTCGCGCAGAGCATCTGGGGACTGCAACTCTTTGAAGGTCGTTTCAGTGCCAACGCTTTTCCGCTCATAGTCTTCCGCCCGTTTGATGACAGTGCGTCCAAGACCCAGATAGCATTGCATGAGGAATTGAAATGCCTTCTGGCCAAAGAGTTTTGCCAGGTACGCTCTGTGGGCGTAGATGTCGCCGCATGTCTTCACGCCTATGGCATCTAGCTCTCGTTCAAAGACACGGCCAATACCGTTGACTTTTCGCGTGGGCAGTGTTTCCATGAATTCCATGATGGTCTGTCTGTTACTAGGAAGTAAGAATTGTCCGTTAGGCTTGTTTATATTGGAGCAAATCTTAGCAAGCTTTGCATTGGCGGCAATACCGGCAGATACGGTAATCTTGGCCTTTTCGTAGACATCGGCACGCATCTGGTTGACGGCTTCCTCGGCAGTCATGTGATGCTCGTTGCAGTATTCCGTGAGGTTGAGATAGGCCTCGTCACAGCTGGCACTCTCAAAATTCGGATCATACAGCGCCAGCACCTGACGCACCTCCTCTGCCTTGGCCGTGTACTTTTGGAAATTCATGGGCACACAAATAAGCTGTGGACAAAGCTTCATGGCGACAAAGCCTGCCATTCCCGAGCGGCAACCAAACTTTCTCGCGTGGTAGTTGCACGTTGTCAAGACGCCCTTTCCCACAGCAAAAGGAACGTCCTTGAGCTCCGGTCTATCGAGCTCCTCAACGGCGGCAAAGAAGGCATCACAGTCGAGATGGACGATGATCTGAGTCAGATCCCTGCCCAGCTCCAGCTCGGCGATGTAGTCGTCGGCTCTACGCAAGTCGGAGGTCAAGTCGACCTTCTCGAGGTGGCGCCTCTTGGCCAGGATCTTCTCGATCTTGTCTGTGAGGTTCTTGTCCTTGGCCTCTTCATTGTTGAAGAACTTGGAGCCCTTTGAGGCGTTGTATATGATGTCCGAGACCTTTGACTGGTCGACCGAGTCCTGGCCTGCCTTTGTGAGCGAGGGGCCGAGCAGATGGTACTTGAGGGACTCGTGCTCGGTCGAGGGCGTGCGTGCAGGCAGCGGGCGCTCGGGAGAGGGTCGAGTGGTCATGGTGGTTGAGGCGTCGTGGTGGACGCCGGGGCCAGGGCCATTCTGGAGGTCGGCAGCGGCAGGATGAGATGAGGATGTGGTGTCGGTGAAGGGGCCGACCCTGCACCGCTCAGCATTGCTCATGATATTAAGTGGGGAGTCATTTTGGCGGGAGGGCGAAAAGGACGGGGGCGCCGCTAAGACGCGAGGTGAGGAGAGAGGGCGTCGGGCGGCCATGACGCGCCTGGCCACTTGTTCCGCTTGGGGCCTAGCGCGTTGTGCAACCTTGAGGGTCTTTCAGGGCCGCCAGATGTCGTTCATCTCAGTGCAGACGCAGACGCAGAAGCGGAGCCAGAACGCCCCCTCTTTTGCTGCTGTTCACGCCCGCCTGACCATGGGCTCAACACCAATCAATCTACATCCTCACCCGCTGCCACTGTAGAAGTGGGGCCTTGCACGTAAATCTGAGGCTGTCGTGACCCTGTAGACACCCGACACGCCAGCTAGCGGCAACCATCAACAACCATCGTCAACACCGCCCTTAGGCCCGCCTCCCGCCCATTGCCTTCCTCGCCTGCAGGCCATGAGCTCCCTCTGCACCAGCCGCCTCCATCCCACACTGTAGCCCCGCCACCCTGGAGAATGCCCATCGAACGAACCGACCGCAATAACCCACGGCCGCTGAAGCCGACGCTCGCTAGTACCCGACCTGCTCCTGCGAAGACGCCCTTGACCCCGAGGCTGGCCGTTGCCTCGTCCGCCTCGTCCACCGTCAGCTCCTCGAGTACACGCACTGCCCGTACCAGCACCGGTGCTCCCACAAGGCCTCATGTCGCCGCCTCTGCTGTCGACAGCGGCACGTCCGCCAAGGCCTTCCTCACCACCAGTGTCACGCCGCGCACCTCGTCACGCAAGTCGCGCGGCGGCGTAGACAGCGCTTCCACGACGCCCAATGCTACCCCGACAAACTCACGCCCGAGCTCTACCGTCGACTTTCCCCACCGCGACCACCACAGCACCATCAGCAGCAGCCACAGCGCCGTTGGAAGGAGCAGCGGAGGTACTGCACGCCCACGCAGTACCCCTGGACCGACCAGCCATGCCGCGCCCACGCCCCGGGCCCCCGTAGCCAGCATGTACAACTACGCGCCATCCGATACTGGATCCAGAAGAGATACTTCCTCCTTATTCTTCCACGCCAATGACGCCCGCCCGCACGACCAACCCGCGCCTGGCCCAGCACCCGTCAAGAAGACGCCCACCTTCTTTTATGCCGATGGCCGACAAGATGAGAGTCCGTCTCACAACGTCCCGTCTCCACCTTTATCTTCCCTGGGGAGAGCCCCCTCAGAATCCAAGTTCTTCCACGCAGACTCCATAGCTGAGTCGAGAGACCGCCCGCCCATCCTCACCCCGCCACCCATTGCTACATCGCCCGAGCCACTACCGCCACTTGCAGCCCCCCATGGACCCTCTCTCCGGCCGCCCTCGCCCACCAAGGACTGGGCACATCTCTCGTACCGAAAAGGAGCCTCGCAGGTCAGACCAGCGTTGAGCAGAGGAACCTCGGCGAGCACAAGCAGTACCCCCATGGCCATTTTCGGTGGATCAAACACCTCAGACGCTTCCGATGTGAACAGACGCAGATCAAGCACAGCTTCGATGATCAAACGAGGGCACGCCAAAAGCTCCAGTCTCTCCTCCATTGACTCAGTGACCAGTCTGAGGAAGGCATCAGCCCATGAGGCCCCGGCCATGACTCCAAGCCCACTGCATACCGAAAAGAGTGCCGCCGACAATGCATCCCCGCCTGACAACCCCGCTTCAGCCTCTCCGCGCTACACCGCCTTCTCCCCGCTTAATTCTCCCAAATCAGAAAGTCCGACAAGAGGTAACGACACCAAGAGTGCGCTGGAGGTGATGAACGAGCTTGCGGCAAATGCAAGAAGGGAACGAAAAGTGCTGGATCTTGAAATCAGCAACTCGTCGCTTCTTGCCATCAACAGGTCGTTGGAGAAAGAGGTGCGCAAGCAAAAGGCCGAGATCAGGCGCTTCCGCCGCATGAGTCGAGCTGGACACTTTTCTGCAGACGCCATTGGCTCGCATGACGAGGCCTCTGCCATTGGTGCTAGTAGTCTAGGAGATCTTTCGGATATGTCCGAAGAGGAAGGGATGCCTGAAGATGAGGAGGAAGAAGAGGAGGAGGAACCTGAGAGCAGCGATTCTTCACTCGATGATAGTGCATTGAGCCCTAGTGCTCAACTAGAGCGGGACGAAGCGCATCGTTCGCGAGATCAGAAGCGCCTCCAGCTTGACCTCTCAAAGCACCGTGAGATGCTAAACGACAGCCAAAAGATGAACCAGAGCTTGAGAAAGTGCTTGGGATGGACAGAGCAGCTAATCAAAGACGGCCAGAAGGCGCTGGAGTACAAAGTCAACGTTAGCGATGTCAAGCTAGGCGGCCGCGTACTCATTTCAGAAGATGACAACGAAGTTACTGACGCTGAGGAATCCAGGGGTCTTCTGAGTCCTTGGAATCCGCTGCAAAACACCATGGACGCGTTAGACTCACCATTCTTCCCAGAAACCAACCGCATGGTTGATCGTGACAGCGGGGTGCATTTTGACGGATCAGACCATATCCGGCGGAGCAACAAAGATTCCACAGCAACGTCTTCTACCGTGGACAGCCAAGGCAAATCTACCAGCCCCGCCAAAGAATTTCGTCCCAAGCTCCCTGGCCAGTGGGTATCATATCGAGACTCAAGCCTGAAGCCTCAAGATGATCTCGCACCACTCGGCTCTCCCTTCGAGGAGCGCATCAGGCATCTCCACGCCTCCATCGATGCTTTGGAAGCATCGTAAAGAGAAAACTGATTATCCATTACCTATTTTCTTCTTGTCACTGCGCATAGACGCATACATGCCCCCATTACAATTTTGTTGCATTGAAACTTGGCGTTTATCAACTAGAAAGGATACAGGTCTGTGTTACCCCCTGGCGTAAATTGGCATATCACGTCGAATGCGATTTCGACGTCCTACGACCGTTTCCTTTGTTTTGCTTTTTTCTGTTGCACCTATACGGCCGCCCCAAGCATATTATTCTACTCTTCCTCCATTCTGTCTCTCGAGAAAGACCAAAAAATTCGACTCGCAAGGGTCCCTTTCTCATTTTTTGTTTTTCTTTTTCTCACTGGCCGTCTTTCTTCGTCCGCCTTAATGTCTGAAATACGGCCTGCCCATTATCATCCTTTGCTCGTTTCATCCAAAATACGTCGGCATAGACTCGAGACCATGTTCACGCGGAGATGGACGGAAAGAAGAAAGGAAAAAGGGGCGGCGAAGAGGATGACGAGCGTCGTCATCTTCGTTTGTTTGTTGCATATTTTGGTCTATAAATAGGCACGCGCCTCCGCCGTGCTTTTTCCGCTTGGCTTCCAAACTTTATGTGTTGCGGTTTTATGATACCCCTTACTCCTCTACAGTGACGATCTTTCTATGGATCTCAGAACCCCCCTCCCCACATTATTTTTTTTATTCTTTTTATTCTAGGTAGATATATGGGTTTGGGGAAATACAAAGTATTGTGCATACAACTGGGTTTTCCATGTGTGATATTTGAAACAAGCAAAGTTAACCTTCAGTAGACGTCACTAAGGTGCACGGGTGCAACTAGGGGTCATAGTGCCATTTTTTATTCCTTGTTCGGCTAGTATACGTCTATCTTACAGCCACAGGAAATGTAGGACCAGTATAGCTGGCCTGATCTATGGGTATACCTAAAAGACCAAAATATAATTCAAAGAAACCAACCATGACTTCCATAGACAATGAACCATTAAGCAGAAAAACAATGAAAAGAAGCCGATACAAAGTACATCTAAGCCCAGTAACCGAGAAGAGCCATCAAACCTAGTCATGATATTAGCAAACTATCGTGGTTGAATTTGAAGTAATGTAAACTCACCAGCACCAAGCGTCATAAGCCCAAACGCCTTGAGCGTCCGGCTAACAGGCCCATTCTGCATGTACGGGCTAAACATGAACTCATGCGCCATAAGCTCCACCAGACCGGTATAGATCAAGATGCCCGCACTGATGGAATCGAAAATGCCATTAGAAAGAAGCGTAGTATGGGACTCTGGAGCAAACGACTGGCGAACGCCCAGGCCAATGGCAATAGCAATCGGGGTGGAGAGCCCGTAGCCGATGCCGAGAAAGTAGGGGGTCCAGCGCTTGGAAGCGGGCCAGGAGACTTCTGCGAGACGGGAGCCCAGACCGAGGCCCTCGAACATTTGGTGGAAAACTAGCACAATGTAGAGCGTGGTGAATTCGTCGCCGGCGACGGCGAGGGTGAGTCCGATGAAGATGGAGTGGAATACGACGCCGAATTCGAGGATGAAGACGGCAGTGAGCTGGGCGGCGTAGTCATTGGGGACGAAACCGTAGTGCTCGTGGTCGTCGGATTTGTACTCGCCGCTGGCATTGTGTTGGCGCTGGTGGCCAAGATGATCATTGCCGCGGATGCTGGGGTTGCGAGCGATGGCTTCAATGTCATGGCCTTTGCTCTCTTCCACGCTGTTGTTGCTGCCGGCCTTGGATTGCGGGATGGCTGCGTGAGTGTGGCTGGCGTCGTGTTGGTGGCCGCTGCCAAAGTTGCCGTAACGCATCGTCATGAGCTCGAGGAAGAACATGAGAAAGATGGTCATGAGCGCGATGCCTTCTGGCCAGGGGTACTTGGTGATGACGCCAGTCAAGCATTCATTGCCTAGTGCTTCGTTTGCTGGTGCAAGCAGGTGGATAAATGCAGTTGCAATGATGACTCCGGATCCAAAGTATTTTGCGACGAAGAAGACCCAGTTTGGTACTAGTTTGTGTCTGCTACGTTTTGCCATCACTGGGAAAACGGCACCTGTGTATCGTTAGCGTTGTTGGACTTGGAAACATTCTTGACAAACTGACCAAAGGTAGATGCGACCAAGATGACGAAAATGGACGAAACGCGGACACCCATGCGCCCATCATACTCGTTGGAGCCTTCGCAGGAAGACATGGTGTTGTATTTTGGGTGCTGAAAGAGTCTTGAGATACGGTTGTCCAAATAAGTAAAGGGGTGTAAGGAGAGATGGGTCGGAGAACGTGTAATAGAGTATACAAGCGAGAAGAACACCGAAAAAATCGATCAACTCAGACTAGGAGGGTTGCCAGTGACCAAAAATTGTCGCGAGGCTCCAGGAAAGAGAGATGAGCTCCAATAGGGAAGCTGTAGATGAGCTTGACTATGCACCAAGGCTCGGTAATGGCTGGGCAATGTATATCTTGTCGGTCTTTGGAAGCGACAGGCACTATATATGAATTCTGGTTGGAAAACCAAGCACCGTGATGGCGATACGAAGATGCTTGAGGTCTCTTATCAAGGCTTGGTAGCTGGAGAAACGCGGCACCGAGGCGGACCACAATGCCGTAAGTACGCAAACGTGAGGACCTTGATGGGCCGCTAAAGAGAAGAATGTCATTCAAACACCATAGACGCGCCGCTGTGGCGTCGAGCATCCCACGCAATCCATAGGCGCGCTGCTTTCAGTCCCTTACGGGATACGTAAAAAGATTATCATAGTACTGCGGGAGTCAGAACTCTGGTAGCGCAAGGTGCGCAAGGACCCTGATTAGGTGGTGGTGAGGAAAGTGGCGCAGCTAAGCTCTCCAGCCACAGCGAGGAAGCCACGATGTTAGTCAGCAACTATGCTCTTTCTGTATTTTTGGAGATGGCTCAACAGGCCCACTCCTCGAACAGATTTTTATACTCATGAACCTTATCCGCCGACGCACCCACATTTGGCGCATGCACCGAGAAGGCGGACCGAACAGCAGGACGTTACAGTAAGTACTATTTAGTAGTCGCCATCCTGCTGGTTTGCATATTGCCTGTTCGTACTGTGCAGTAACAAACATTGCTGTCGAACAGGTACATGGGACATTGTGAAGTTTTGCGTCCATGTACGTGGATGCATATGGGCGGTCTGTGGCCGGTATTGATCTGTGTGGCCGAAGGGGATCCGCGTGAGAAATGTACTCCTCTTTTGATGCATCTACGCGGCAGCCTTGTTTCCTTTTTAATTGCGGCATCGTCGGAAAGACCGGAGTCTGACGGGTGGATGTGCAGATGGATGGTTCGAGGTCTACTCCTAGGGTAAGATGGGATGGGAGGAGGTTGATGGTACACCAGGGTACCCGCATTTCGGAGCTTGCTCGGCGCCTCTGGTTGAGTAGCGCTCACATGTACACAATGTACATGGAGTATCGAGCAAATCACACCACGTCGAGCCAGCGCGAAGAGCAGCTACAGTACATTGGCAGTCGGGGCAGACTGCGGGGATTGCGACGATTAATAGGCTGAGAGCCAGGACAGACCTTGCAAGTCACAACGACGGCACTTGGGCGGCGATGGCAGGGCACAAGGAAGCATCGAGGCGATCGAGAGCGGGTGTTGAGACGATTGGCAAGACAGAGTACGCAGGCTCATCGAAAAGTTAATCCCCATCGGCGGTACATGAAACCGGTTTCGTGAGGGGGCATGGACGCCCGGGCAACCGATGGAATGGCTTGCACCGACAATGCGTTGTGGGGTAACATGGCTGCGCGCTGCTTGGCGGCATGCTGCATCGATGATGTACCAAAGTATACTTGGTGTTGTGTGGGCGGGTGAGACAGAGGGTAAGCTGCTCGCTGTGTGTGGCCATGTTGTGGCAGCTGTAGAGGATGTTGGCGGGCGTTGTCTTGCCAATAGCTCGACAACGTGTCAAGCACTACCTACTTACTTACGTACCACGGCTAGCCGGGCGAGCGTCGTTGTCTGCCAGCCAGCCCCTCATGCCAAACGTAGAGATGCAAGGCTGGTGTTCGCGCATCCCTGTGCACATAACCCGCACAGAGCGGGAACCAATCGTAGCGCCCCACCGTGAGGGGCGATGACGTCTCGACTCCCGATTTGGACAGCTTCTGCCGCAGCTCCAACAGGTGACCGTGTAGCTGCCTGCCTTCTCCTCTTTATAACTCTGCCTCACCTCGGACTGCCATTCAATTCTACTGTCCTCTCACCTACCGGCCATCCTCCACCCACAGACAGGCTTCTGTGAATTTGTCCAATTCCAATCCAAACCCTAACAACCAACAACACCGTCGATCATGATCGTCGACAAGTTTGAGGAAGTTTTGCAGACGGCAGCGCTTCCAGCTGCTGCCTCTGTTGCACCCATCCCCTCCGTCATTCCTGGAAGCGAGCCTATCTACCAGGTTGCCGGTGATGCTGGACAAAAGGTCCTCTGGGTTGTCTTTGCCATCATGTTGGTTGCCTCTGGTGCTTTCACTCTCATGTCATGGAATGTCCCCTTGGTACGTTGCAGCCCGTCAGACTAGCCTTGGACGGCCTCGATTGTCATACCACGGAGCAATTGGGAGCACTACAAAGCTTATAGACTCGGCTTTTCACCAACATCATGTCTAACACATTCACAGAACAAGCGTCTCTACCATGTCGTTACTACCATCATCACCCTGACTGCTGCCCTCTCATACTTCGCCATGGCTACCGCCCACGGTGTTTCCCTGACAAAGATTGTTGAGCGTGAGCAGCACGACCACGTTCCTGACACCTTCACCACCACCTACCGTGAGGTCTACTGGGCCCGTTACGTCGACTGGACCATCACCACTCCTCTCCTGCTCCTCGATCTCGGTCTCCTTGCTGGCATGGCCGGTGGACACCTGATCATGATGATTGTTGCCGATATCTTCATGGTTCTGACCGGTCTCTTCGCTGCTTTCGGCTCCGAGGACACTCCTCAGAAGTGGGGCTGGTACACCATCTCCTGCATTTCCTTCATCTTTGTCTTCTGGCACTTGGGTCTCAACGGTGGAGCCAACGCCAATGCCAAGGGTGAGAAGCTTCGCGGCTTCTTTGTCTCCATCTCCGTCTACACTGCCATTCTCTGGACTGCCTACCCCATGTAAGTGCCTACTGTCCTGCTCAAGCACCCCGCTTTATACTAATGCTGTACAGTGTCTGGGGTATTGCCGACGGTGCCCGCAAGGTCAGCGTTGACACTGAGATCATTGCCTACGCCATTCTCGACGTTCTCGCCAAGGCTGTCTTCGGTGCCTGGCTCCTCATTGTCCACTCCAACATGCGCGAGAGCGATGCTGAGCTCAACGGCTTCTGGGCCAACGGCCTCAGCCGCGATGGTGCTATCCGCATCGGTGAGGACGACGGTGCCTAAGCGCATTCTGTCAATGCTAGATACTTCAAGCAAGTTCCATACGATTGCCTAGACAAGCGTGGTTCGCCTCAAGTGCAAGCTCATGAGGACCCGAACCAGGTTCGATGATCCAAAAAATCGCTCGGGGGTATATGTTCCTCTGCATATTCTTTTCGATAGCATCTCTCTTCAGTAGTCAAGCCTGTCGTCAACGGAGTCGGAGGCTCGGGGATAATCATGGGACGGGTAGTTTATAGCGTGGTCTGTCCATATTTAATGAGAAAATGATTTGGTCTGATGTCGTGTGGCTGATGCTACTTTGACTTGATGGTGATGTCTACCGTGCTATTGGCATAAGTACTACGGATATGGGTTGAGCATGTGACTGTTCCAAAGCACATTGCTGTTGGCCTGCTCCAAGTGATGGTCTGGTCCCAGGCAACAGAGACATGTGTGGCTAGTCGGACACAACATGGTGCCTCATGATTGCACAGGGCGTCTAGCAAGTGGTTACAGATGTTACAGACATGTGTGCATGGGAAGCTAGAGACTGCGTCACAGCATTAATTTCTTTTTCTCTTCTTAATTTCCTTCGGTTTGATACCAGAAGGGTGTGTTTCTGTTTTCTTCCGCGTAAGGCAAGTCGAAACAGAGAGCGGGATGTGGATGCTGGCTAGCCTGTTACATGTGCCACGCGCATTGTGAGTGTTGATCAGAAGCCGTCCCCAAACGCAGTGCCTGATGCATGCGCATACTGGCCCTCCACGTCACTTGTCGAGACTGAGTGCCTCAAAAGCAAAAGACCAAGTCGCATGCGCATGCAATCCCCATTGCCTCTGTGCACGGGCATGGCCACAGCAGTCAGCCGCAGCGAAGATGACGGCGGTGGTGGGATGGCACCACGGTGGTCTCATCAGTCTCACTCGATGCAAGATGACGGTAGGCGCCTGACCCTGGTGTTGGGCATTGTGGATATGCAGGGGTCAAGCAGGCGGCTGCCCCGCAACCAAGGCCGCGGGCAGCAAGCTACCTCTCCCCTCTCTTATGGCTTGTCTGCGAGCTCCCCTTTTAAGTACCCCGACAGCTGCAGAGCCTTTTGATCGCCTACATCTGCATTCCCCACTGCCCATACTATTCACCGTCACACCACCAACTTACCCACAGCCCCCCACCATCTGAAAGTCGCCAGTCATTCTGACATCATCGTCGTTATCACCACCACCACCATTATGGCATCCGAGAATACCGACTTTATCGACGAGACGTCCATCTCGCCTGTTCGCTCCTCGGAAAGGCGCAACAGTTTGGAGAAGCACCTGCAGCACCGTCCAGAACCCCAGGACCTCAAGAACAGGCACATTTTGCTAGACACCACAACAGCTCCGTATGCCTATCCCCGCATCTGCGCCTAGGTCCCCACTATTCCACGCCAAGCTCAATTGCGCTTTGACAAGATAGATAGCTAACATGTGCCTGCTCTACAGCGCCCTCCAAGCCAAAGCCCTCGAACTCGAGCGACAGCGCGCAACAGACAACCTTAAGCGCGGCCTCAACTCCCGTCCCGAGCGAGCCGAGCTCGTCGACCGCAACATCCTGCCCAACTCGACAGCAGCGCCTGCCCTCCAAGGCCACCAAAAGGAACTCGAAATGCACATGCGGGCTGATAGCCTGGAGAAGGGCCTCCAGAACAGGCCAAGTCCGGAAGAGCTTGTCAAGAAGGGCATTCTTGACGAGGACGAGAATCCCGCCAAGAACATTGCTTAAGCGCTGCTTGCCTATTTTTCTCCTTGGGTACGGATGTCCTTGATGCTGTCTCTCTAGGATGACGTATTCGGCGTTGATGAGTTTTTGTTATATTTTGAACACGATGTTAGGCTGAGTTCATCATCTAGCTTGTATCGTTAAAGTGTAAATGACCACACTTCCAACTTTTTTTACTTTTTTTGCAATCTTCACGCCGTCTTGTTGACCCACCGTGAGTCTCTAAAGCACATCAGCAAAAATTCATGAGATGCTCAATCAGCATAGAGCTGTTTATGCAAGGGATAGTACGAAGCCAATAACTTGATTGTTATGTCCTTCTGCCAAACAGCGATAATTAAACAATGCTTCAAACTCGAAACACTAATTAAACATCAATCATACGTCCATCCGTTTATCGCTGGACCTTCTCTTCTTGAACAATGGTAGAGCTCTTGTCCATCGAGCCACGCACGTGGCGCTCGCCATCGGCCTCCATGTTCTTGACCAGCTCCGTAACACCAAACAAGTCGTCCATCTTCTCGAGCGACAATCCCTTGGTCTCAGGCACGAAGAACCATACGAAGAGGAACATGGTGAAACAGAAGGATCCGTAGAGAAGGAAGCATCTAACAATCGGGTTAGCATATGAATAATTTGTAACGACAGAAGGGAAAAACGTACCCATAGCCACCCTCGCCCATGGTAGCAATCATGTTAGGCGTAGCACGAGCAACAACAAAGTTGAATAGCCATTGGACAGCCGCAGCAATAGCGACATTGAGCGATCGAAGACGAGCAGTGGGGATCTCGGAGACATAGATCCAGCACACGGGGCCCCAACCGAACTGGAAGAAGCAGGCGTAAAGGAAAACGCACACAAGCGCGAAATATCCAGCACCAGGAACAGACTGGCCAGCGACGGGCGGGTCGATGCGCATGTAGAGACCAATGTAGAACATGGCCAAACCCTGAGCAATCGAAGTCCAGAGAAGCGAGCGACGGCGACCAAGCGAGTCAGCAGCGAAGATGAGGAAAGCAAGACATCCGACCATCTTGACAATACCGTAGATTCCCGTAGCGAAGAGCTTGTTCTCGTTACCCTCGAGACCAAGCGCCTTGAAGATTTGCGGGGCATAGTAGTTGATTGCGTTTGTGCCCGTCATCTGCTGGCAGACCATGAGACCAATCGAGATGAGAGCGCGTTTGCGGTTACCGGGGATGGTAAACATTTCCTTGAGGAGATCCTTCATGGTTGCTCCAGCAATCAGCATGCGCTCGTGCTCGAGCTGATCAGAAATATCCTTGATTTCGTCCTGGACGTAAGGGTGCGAGAGAGGTAGGTTGCGGACGCGTGCCAGGACAGTAGTGGCTTGTTCCCACTTATCTTGCTTGGCGAGGAAACGGGGGGATTCTTTGTTCATGGCCATGCAGCCGACGAGGAGGACAGCGGGAAGTGCTTGCATGGCGAGCGGGACAATGTAGACTTGGGCACCACCGGAGAGGTGCAGAAGTGATCCGTAGTTTACCCAGAAGGCGAGCGAGATTCCAGTGGCAATGAAGAGTTGGTAGAGACCGGTGAGACCTCCACGGATACCACGGGGAGCGTTTTCGGAAATGTATAGAGGGACGACCATGGATGCGCCTCCGACCCCGAGACCAGCGATGAAGCGACCCACGTACATGGCTGCGAGGGAACCCGAGGCAACGGCTTGGATTACGCAACCGACAATTGTGATGAGACCAGCTGCTTGGAGTGCGAGCTTACGACCCCAGCGGTCAGCGGCCCAGGAGGCGATGAAGCAACCGAGGAAACATCCAGCTTGAAGGGTCGAAGCAATGTTGGCACTCAAGTTGGCCTTGCCGACTTTGTCGAGATATTTAATATTGTACTTTCTATTCGTTCACATTAGCCTTTTCGACGGCACCAAGAAAGTGAATAGTGTCGAGGATGGCAACTTACGCTTGGAACTCCTCTAGTTCAAGCACACCACCAATTGTTCCGATATCGAAACCAAACAACATGCCACCGAAGCAGGCAGAGCCCGCCATGGCAAAGGCACGCCATCCGTAGATCTGATGGGGATCAGACTTGATGGAGTCGTTCTTGACAATCATGCGGATAAACCTGGCGCCCGCCGATGGGGGAGTGTTGGAGGGATCCATGATGGATGGATGATGGTGGTGTGCAGCGGTCGTCAATCAGGGCAGATGGTGATATAGACGTCTCGGTCTTATCAACCCACACTCTATCCTGACCCAAGACGTTCAATGCAAACGAGGCCGGCAAGAGGTCAAGAGGAGATCAACAAAGTCTCCACAGCACAGGGTGAACAATCAAGAAAACCCCCGGTGAGATGCGTGCATGGCCTCACTATATAAACCAGCACAGGATATGCGGTCCATGCGCTATCCTGGCATCATTAGCTTGTTCCTCAACACCGGGGTAAAAACAGCGTTGCCAGATGCCGCGGGCTTTGTGCAGAAATCCTTCCTCTTGGACGGGGGCGGCGCGCCCGTTAGTCCATAGGGCACAAACCCCAGACTAACTGTAGTAACCCCAGACTGATGGTCCCTCCCCCAGGACTGGATCCTATGGTGGCCCAACACGAGCGACGCCTCCACGCTCCCTTCTAACCGATATCCCATATCCTCCCTCCAGCCTAGAGACCGAGTAGGCAAGGCGAGGGACCAAAGCTGCATTGGTGTCGTCTGGGCGAATAAGCTTAAGCATCATCGAGCTGCCGTGCAATCCCCCCAAATTGAGGACGCACGGTGATGCTTAGCACTTGGCACGGCGGAAAGCTTGCAGTGGGATTAGTGGAGGAAGTGAATGTCCGTCTTGGAACTCGCCAAGGCCGCATACTGCATTCCCCTTCCTCTGCCCACTCACACACACAACCGGGTGGATGGGTGGCTGGCGGAATCAGACTACTAGTAATCATCGGACACCGAATGCCAAGACGTCGCTGCACCTCTACTACTAGTGGAAAAGACAATCCGGGGGGGAAGATTCCCCACTAATTTCAAAGGCTGGGGTCGAAGTGGCCGTGTCCCGCTCTCCCCTTGCCGTGTTCGAGGTGCTCAAACCTGACCCCCGCCTGCAAAAGACGCTACGGTTCCTTTGTGCATATTAATCCGCGTATTGGAGCGACAAACGCTCCGCGATCACACCGACACGTGATGCGTTCGTCGCCACGCAGAGTAGTGTGGGGTTGCATACGTGAGGACTGTGACTCTGTGTATGGTGGGGAATTATATCGTCAATCCCTCCATGGTGGGGGAAAGGATCGTGGAGAAAAAGAGGCGTTCTGTCGGAGGAAAAAAATAGTACAGAGCTGAGCGTTCTAGCAGCTATGAAAGTTTATTTTATTTTCTTTTTCTGGGATTGCTACTAGGAATGTCAGTTTGCAAATTGCACGTGTGTCAAATAGACACTAGTATTACTACAACAAAGGTAACGAATGAAATACATGAGCGGAAGCAATGCCCAAGCATTTGTAATCGTGAGCAGCCTCTGTGTCACGTCAGCGGCCAATAAAAGCATGCTTGTCCTCTGTGTTGTACGATTTTTAGAGCTCTTCAACAGCAAAAGTGGTTTTATTGGCTTGGATCCCTCCCCCCGCCTTTGCCGCATTCGGAGCAGGAACAATGGGCTCTTCAGGCTGTTTAGGCAAAAGTAAGAGTACACTTCGTGACAATGTTCGCGCGAGGTTCCCGAGGTTATCTCTTTCCAACCTACGTGTACCACGTAAGTCGTTAATACATGATCGCTGCTGCTGCTCTTTGCACGCAGTTTCACATAAACTTCCTCCCAAATCTCAACAAAAGCGGCACCGCGTCATTCGGTTGCGGCACGCCACATACATATCGCCATTTAACAGGTGTGTCCAAAACAAGCTTTCTTGTCTTATCACGCCCAATCCGCGGCTCGCATATTCTGCCGTCTTGGTTGTTTCTGGGCATTGCGGGTACATTTTCCACACGGCAGCCAGCCTGACATCAGCACAGCTCGCCGTAAGCCTGCCTGTATACTTACAGCCAAGAAGATCAGACGACCTTGAATCTGAGTCAAGCGCATCATTCTTGCACCCCGTGCAAAGGGCGGTTGTTGTACCAAAGCCTCGTTCCAACGCACGTTTGCACCACTCACCGCTGACCTTGGTGTCCCGTCCTTGCAGAAAGCTCCCAAGCTGTCTAGACCTTGAACCAAAAAGGTACCAGCCACTCACGGAAGCGGAAACAAAAAAAAGCAGACGGGAAGCACGTGTGCCCAGTCTTTCACATCTCGTACTACACAGAGTACGGAAGTAAAAAAAACAATAATAGCGGACGGAACAATGAGCGCCACAACGGCAAACAATAACCGGGCTTTTGACCTCCATCCTTTCTCCACGAATCCTTTCAAGTCACGCAATGATGTCGTCGACGCTGTAGCATCTCTTCTCGACCCCCTTCTCCCCGGTTTCTCGCCACAAAATGCTTTGATCAAGGTAGGCAGCACCGGCACGCGTTTTGACGAGACAGGTGCCCAAGTCGAGGGCTTTGCGCGTCCGCTATGGGGTCTCGCGCCACTACTAGCTGGAGGCAGCAGGTACGCTGCTACCGACAAGTTTGTCCAAGGCCTGATTTCCGGGACTGATCCTGAGAGCCCGGAGTTCTGGGGCTACATGGAGGATACCGACCAGCGCATGGTGGAGGCGTGTCCGATTGGGTTTACGCTGGCGGTTGCGAATAAAGAGTTTTGGGAGCCGTTGACGGAGCGGCAGAAGAAGAATGTCGAGACGTGGTTGGGGAGCATGAATGATAAGAAGATGCCGGATACGAACTGGTACGATGACCCGATTGTTTGTTTTGTTCTTATATCCATGTTGGTGACCGTTTTGTGACTGCAATTGATGTTGAGACGTTTGATAGGCTTTGGTTCCGCGTCTTCGCCAACCTAGGACTTGAGAGAAATGGCGCCCAGTGGTCGAAATCACAGCTGGAAAAGGACATCAAGCAGTTGAATACGTACTACCGCGGCGATGGTTGGTCAAACGATGGTCCCGATACATATCGTCAGATGGACTACTACTCGAGCTCCTTTGCCATTCAGTATCTACAGCTTCTCTATTCGAAACTGGCTGCAGACATCGACCCTGAGCAGGCTGAAGAGTACAAGAAGCGGGCCCGGATGTTTGCTCTCGACTTTGTACACTTTTTCGATCCCGAAGGTCGTGCTATCACCTTTGGTCGCTCACTGACATACCGCTGGGCCATGGTAGCCTTCTGGGGCGCCATTGCGTTCGCTGACCTCGAACTGCCTGAGCCCCTCAGCTGGGGCGTAGTCAAAGGTATCTGGCTACGAAATCTACGGTGGTGGACAACCCAACACGACATTTTCCAATCCAACGGCATGCTCACTGTTGGCTACTCGTACCCCAACTACTACCTGGCTGAGAATTACAATTCACCTCAATCACCTTATTGGTGCATGCTCGCCTTTGCCTGTCTGGCCATGCCAGAATCTCACCCGTTTTGGAGTGCAAAGGAGGAGCCACATCCATTTGCTAATACACGTGTGGTGCGTCCTCTTCCACACCCTCGGCAGATTGTGTGCCGGTCCGGAGGTCACACTTTCCTGCTGTCAAGCGGACAGTCATGCCACTACGCGATTAAGAACAGCAACGCGAAGTACGGCAAGTTTGCCTACAGTGCAGCCTTTGCATACTCGGTGTCGACAGGCTACCAAGAACTGGAGCAATTCGTGCCAGAGTCACAAATTGCCTTTTCTGACGATGGCGGGGAGCTGTGGAAGATGAGAAGGGCACTGAACGGAGACTCTCAGATTGAGAACATAGACGGGGTACCGGTGCTGGTTAGCAGTATGAAGCCTTGGCCCGATGTTGAGGTTTCAACGTATTTGATCCCACCAGCCGAAGAGACACCAAACTGGCATTTGAGGGTGCATCGGGTAACGTCAGGGCGGGATATCAAGAGTGCAGAGGGAGCATGGGCTGTCTATGGTGCGAGAGAGTCTGATGGTCGTCTCTTGACTGAATGGAACGGCACGCTTCGCACACTTGATGCTTCGATACCAGAGGGTGGTGCTTCAGATGCCACATCTGCGTTTGCAGCCTCGCCTCGTACGGGCGCGGTAGGCATCGTAGATCTTCACCAGCAGGACAGACATGGCAGTGTCATTTTGTCAGACGCCAACTCCAATCTTGTCGAGAGCAGGACTGTGCTGCCGATTGTGCAAAAGGATATCAAAAAGGACGAGACGGTGTGGTTTGTCACCGCTGTATTTGCGATGCCAGCAAGCAAGGAAGGATGGAGGGAGAGCTGGAAGGCAGGCTGGGAGAAGCGGCCAGCGGTGCCTGAGTGGGTGAAGAGCAAGGTTGGGGGTCAGTAGCTTGAGGGTGATGTTTGTCGAGTCACGTGGCAATGAAAGTGTTTGATCTGCCCTAATGGTGGATATGTGCGAATGACGAATAGCATTACGATATGAAGTACTGTCTTGTTTTTATCGCCCATTCATAAAGATAATAATAGCTTGCCGGGTACCCTGACGATGATGTGGAAGTAATGGCGATGCAGAGGCGGCAGTTGAGAGGCCGAGTAGGCGCCCTCTTCAGCGGCTGTATATTCTCGGTGCCCTCTGTGCCCCACCAGTCCCCGTCGCGTTTGCTGCATCGAGTCGTGTCACTGTATTCCAATAGTAAAGACGAATTTCCCTCGCTGTTGTTATCGTCTTCCGGCCCTTCTTTAGCAGCTCTCGCCGCTCATCCTTATCCGCGTCCTCTCTTCTTTTTTTCCCCACACCCGCTGCACACTGTCAAGACGGCGCCTCCAGCCCCAGCCCCCGACGCTGCCCGCTCCTCTCGCTCATCTTCGCCACTGCGCATTGCCAGCCAACTGACAACGGCCTCGGCCATCCTCTGGGATCCCAAGTTTACATCGCGAGCGCCTCCGGGCAGCCTCCACCCCGTCCACGCAGGCACTCTCGTCCCCCCGCACCGCACAGACTCGTCCATCAGCGTCCGCAACCTTGGCGACGGTGACGCCAACGGCGACACTGCGCCCATCGTGCCCACTATGGACAACCGAAGACACCCCAGCTCTTTCCAGCAGCTCGAGAAGCTCGGAGAGGGTACCTATGCCACGGTAGGTCGCCACTGGACCATGTGCCCCTACCCCCCGCTCTCGAACGCCTATGCTAACTCGCCCAGGTCTTCAAAGGCCGCAACCGCCAGACGGGCGAACTCGTCGCCCTAAAGGAGATTCACCTCGACTCGGAGGAGGGTACGCCCTCGACGGCCATTCGTGAAATCTCCCTCATGAAGGAGCTGCGCCATGAGAACATTGTCCTGCTACACGATGTCATACACACCGAGAATAAGCTCATGCTCGTCTTTGAATACATGGACAGGGATCTTAAGAGGTACATGGACTCACGCGGCGACCGAGGTGCTCTCGACCCAGTCACCATTAAGTCGTTCATGTACCAGCTGCTCAAGGGAATCGCCTTTTGCCACGAGGCCCGCGTTCTTCACCGCGATCTGAAGCCCCAGAACCTGCTCATCAACAATCGTGGACAGTTGAAGCTGGCCGATTTTGGTCTTGCTCGCGCTTTTGGAATTCCAGTCAATACCTTCTCCAACGAGGTCGTGACCCTATGGTACCGCGCTCCCGATGTCCTGCTCGGCAGTCGCACATATAACACTAGCATCGACATTTGGTCAGCTGGTTGCATCATGGCCGAGATGTACACGGGCCGACCTCTCTTTCCAGGGACTACCAATGAAGACCAGGTACAAAAGATCTTCCGGCTCATGGGCACGCCGTCTGAGCGCTCGTGGCCGGGGATTTCACAGCTGCCCGAGTACAAGAACAACTTTCCCGTCTACCACACCCAGGATCTGCGTCTTATCCTGCCACAAGTCGACCAGGTTGGACTTAACTTGCTCAACAGCATGCTTCAGCTCCGACCAGAGATGCGTATATCTGCCGCAAATGCTCTTCAGCACCCATGGTTCAACGACTTGCCGCAACGGCAACAAGAAGTCGCCCAGATGCAAGCCCAGGCACATGCCCAGGCACAGCAGGCCCAGATGGGTGGCGGTTACCAAGTACCTCAAAACGCCTACTAGCAGCAACGCGTACTTCTAGACACTATGAATCCATATGAATATGAGTTGGCACCTCGATGCACACGCGGAATACTAGTGGTAAATGAGAATAACGATCTTTTATGGCCAACTGCATGTTGCAGCAAGATACCACATTACCAATCCTCACGAGACGCGTACAAGTATAAGGGTTTCTCATACTTGTGGAATGGCACCACGTACATGGCGTCGATGAGTACACTCTTGAGGATCCCATTTTAGGAAAATGGTATACGCTATGTGCCCTACGCTCACTTTCGTGCCAAATCATCCTGCCAGGCACCACCGCCTCCCTATATGTCTTTGGGAAAGCTCTATGTATGGAATGGCGCTACATTTGTACTTTATGCAAAGCCATCGGTGTCTCCAACTTTGAGATCTGAGACCCTGAATAAACGCCGTCGCCTCTCTTGATGGATTGTTAGCGGGGGTTTTGAATTCAATGCATAAACGGGGGTTTTTTTCTTTCTAATGTTGAGATATCGCCCTTTTGTGATCCTTGATTCATGTGTGTGAATATGGTTTTACATCTTGTGACTGATGTTGTCTTTGTCAATTCATACCCTTTTTCCGCTTGAATACCATGAGTTCAATCAAGTGACAGAAAAAAAGACATTTGCAGTTGTTCTATTTTGACGTAAGACACATCCTTGGATAGAACTCGGGGGGGGGGGGGGGGAAGGAGGTTAGCCATGAATCCCCACTTCCCATGCCACACGCACCCCCCCCCCTTTTCTACCCTTTCTTTTTCTCTGCAACTCGATAGACTACACGCAGTAAGATTACGCACTTTCTTCCTTCTCGTTGAAGAAACTGCATTGTGCTACAAGCTACGATGATGCCTTGGAGGGTAGCAGATTAGGCACTGTAGCTGTGTTTATATTTCCCAGAGAACGTCACTCCACTACACACGATACACCTCTCTAGTGGAGGTAGTGAATCTTGAACATCACTTGAGAGTGATTTATTGTTTTAACTGGGTGTATGTTCTTTTGGTGTCTATCGTGTCTGATTTTTTTTTGGGAAAAGGCAAGGGATGAATTAGTGTGTAAGCATCATATCACGTACACAAAAGTAGGTCAAAGTATTTTTTTTAAATATTGTTGTTCTTACTGTATGTTTCTTTTTGACAATTCTATGTTACCAAAAGACAAGAAATACTACTTTAATTACTGCTGTCTTGTGTATATGCATCTTGTATCACTTTACCTTGATTATTTGATTTTTCTTTTTATATATCTGTTTGCTGCATTGTGTATTAGATCGATTATCTCAGAAAAGAATAGCAGGTCACACCCCGACCTGTCGGAATCGGGTATCGACAGAATAACTTTCTAGTCAAAGTAAAAGAAAAAGAGTGGGTAAGAGTCTGCGAGACCCTGCTTTGCAACCTAAAGAAATAGTTTAGTAATAACCTCTCAACGGATATGTGTCTAGTAGACACACCTCCGTTGGGTATGACAATCAAAATACGGTTGCGACGAAGATAGCAGTTGCCTTGATACTCTTCTATTCCCTCCGTTCAGGAGAATTAAAGAAAAAAAAGACAAGAAGCATGCTTGACGTGTTAGAATAAGAGAAGGCTGTCGTAAATCAGATCTAAAGCGTTCGAATAAGAAGAGTGCTAGGTTAAGATGGATATGATATAGGTAATACTAGAAATAGAAGGTTTTGACACGGGACTATTGTGAGAGCGAGCATAGGATAACATAGTTTAGATATATATTTTACCTTGAAATAGGCAAGAAGAGTATACGATGTAGTTATTGCAAAACATCTAAAATACCAACCCACAATGATTCATTATTCCCGATTCTCCTATTTAAAGAACTACTTGTCTGCGAAGAAAAGGAAAAAAATCAATAGCTGCTAAGAGGGCGTGTTTTTTTGTTCACTTTATAATGAAAGATAACTAAAAGCTAGTATATACCTACGTAATAAATATATAGCAACACAGCTTGCTTCCACAGAAAATATCTACAAGGAAAGATAACACGTAATTATCTTTCTTAGGACGATTCAAAAGAAAAAAGAATCCAATCCTTCTTAAAAAAGTTTCTTCGAATCGCAGTGATAAAGTAGAGTTTTGTCCGGGGTGTTGGTTGCTGGCGAAGCTTCATCGAAATTTTCAGCTCTTACTCCCCCTTTCCCCTTTCCCCTTGAAAAGGCTACAGTGAAATTCTAGGGAAGAGCTGTAATATCTGGCCAAAACTAGATACGAACTGTCCTGCGACTAAACACGAACCTATTATTCATGGAAACGCAGGATGACTTGGTAGTGGTACTGTGTGCTCCGCGGACTATACGAACTTGCTCCGTGGAGCAGTCATTGCATTGTGTATGCGGGGTAAAATGACTCTGTATTCTTATATCGTAATAAGTGTTGAGTTTAGATGCAACGGCCCTTATTTTTTGTTGTAATAGTTTTTGTAATAATTGTTGTTCGCGGGTAGTTTGACGACTTTTGAAATATCTTGCGTGGTTTGTTATCTCCATCTTACCTTTTTGAGAAGTACATACAATACTTGATTATCACGCAAATCAAGTAATTTCCTTACTTGATACAAAAGAATGATGGTTAAGTAGATATCTCGACTGGTATATCTATCCTATCTAGACGAACAAAGACTTTTCCACAGGTGTGCATCTGTGAAAAGACACTGCAAAAAAACATAGCATCTATCACCGATCCATTATTATTGCAAGACTTACAATCGGTACCCACATCTCACATCACTTATGTATCCCAGCCATCAAAGCCCCTTCCTTCCCTTCCTAATCCACTACACTACATGGCGGCCACTCCAACGTCACACCACCAACCTTACTCGCTAGACCACACACATCCTGCAACTACACTTACACTGCATCTGGGTATGCATGTGTGCGTCCAAATTTGGATCCTGCACTCGCCACCCATACAGACATGCCGGATGTCAGATGACCGTGTGTGCGCAGGCGATGGCTTTTTGCGCCATGAAGCTAGGTCTCTCGTATCTTGAAGCTAAAATGCGCCACGCTGGCAGCTTTCTCGCCCCCAAATAAAAGACATGTGAAGCGATGGAAGGAAACGAGAAGGGAAGGGAAGGCGGAGATACGCACAAGTCATCTTTTTTTATTTGAGGGGAAGGTGTGTATGATTGGAGGAGGGGGGAGGGATCAGCGAATATACCGACGTGGTGTGTGGATTTCCCTCTTTTTTTTTTCTCCGAGCCACAGTGTGATGTGATATGTTGCAATGATGCAGGTAGAGTTTTACTGCTATACGAAACACATAGTCTGATTGGATGGAATGACCAAAAAATGGTTGAGCATGAGCATGGTTCGACGACTCAAAAGGCTATGCTGTTGTGGGTATCCTACACTCTGCATGCATGCATGATGCTTCGAGTGCGGCGCCACATGCGGTAGATGGTGTGTATACATAACACAAGCAAAGTCTCTCACTACTGGATGTGGGAAAAAGGCGACTCAGTTCATCTAAATGTAGGAGGATAGACGGCGAATCAAGCGACAGATGGTGCACATCAGTACCTGCAGAGGTATGCACGGGTATCGAGTTCCGCCAAAAGCAAGCGTAGTGCAGCTCAGCCGGATGCTCCTTTCGGTTACACCGACATCGGAAATCGCGGCCCACTCCATGTTTGTACATCAATTCATACGTACGTACGCATGTTGGATCCATGTTAGTAAGTAAGTACTCTATATGAAAGACCATGGAAAGTTCCACCCGTGATCAGCACGACGCTTATCAGACGGGAGGCTTGGTGACAAGCTTCACGCACGCTTGCGCCGACCATGACTCACTTGGAAAGAAAGAAAAAAGCCACGGGCAACCATTGTGAGGTATGCTGGACACCGATCAACAAGGACTAGAATGCATGCGGCGCCACCGTCGCTTAAAGGGGGTGTGAGGGAGAGCCGGCGGAACCGTACAAGGGCAAGCATCATCGTGTCTCCAAGAAGCAGAAGGTAAGTCCATCATGTGCAGTTGGCAAGACGCTGCTAGGCCCAAGCTCCCTCGTCTAGTACTTAGCGGACAGCCCTTGACGGTGAGAATGGCGATTAAATGATCAATACGGCGAGCGCGGTAAGGCATGACGGCGAAGAGCATTGTGCGTCGGACATAAGCGAGCATTTTATACGACTATCCGAGATCGATTGGTCCCAAGCGTAGGTGGTATGCGTAAGTATCTAAGTAGTGTAGAACCATTCGAGTCGGTGAGCATCACTGGGTAGGGGGGATGGTGCGCTGAGAGGGGGGCAAATTGTGCCACCTTGCGGTCCTAAGGGCTTGGGGATGATGTTGCGGGCAGGGCACCCAGGAATGCAGCGCGATTGATTGACTTGGACACTTTTTTGTGAGCGGATACCCGCCGCACTGGACCAGAAGCGATCGGTGAACCTTCTTCTTGTTCGCATGTTTCCGGTCTGGAACGTGAGCCAACCAGAAGACCAGAAACACGGATTTGTCACGGGCGTGGATGTGCGCATGTAGATAGCAGTACGGGTTGGAAGGATGGTATGTGTACGGGGTGAAATGTATGTGCGACACAGACCCGAGCCAGTGTTACAGCATGTGAGAGTACCTCGTACTACTAGGGAAGGTTAGGTGGGTGGTTCGCCAGGGACGGAGAGAGCGAGAGAGATATGCAATGCAGGTAGGTGGTGTAGGGTAGCGGGAAGAGAGAGGCCGGTAAGACGCGTATGCGGGAGGAATCCTTCAAGACGGCAGCGTGGCACGGCAGCGACGTGACAATGGACCAAGGGCTTTTCAGTCGCGGCAAACGCTGATTGTTAAGCACAAAAGAGGCAGCAGAGAGAGTGCGGAAGATAGGCGCACGGAAACGGAAGCATCAGAGTCCCAGCCAATGGCAGGGCCTTTGCAGACCATCGCTATTGTCTGGGCTTTAGCGCGCAGCAGTTGGAGCGGGCGCGTGATATGCTTTGATTGAAAAAGAAGCATCCGCTTAGACGCATGTGTAAGTAATGTAGTTATGCGAGTCGTCGGGTTAGCAATGGCGTGTTCCGGGGCGTGGGATGTGATTTTTTTTATGCAGTAGCGTCCAAGCTGCATAAGCAGGCGTGAAGGAGCGTGTACTCGAGTATGGGTGAGCACATGTACAAGGGCAAGTGAGGGAGCGAGTAAGAGCACGATAGTGTGAGAGGGAAGAGTGTCTGGGCTAGAAGCGAACACGAGCGGTTCCGTGCTACCTGTCATTGGAATTACATGAGAACAAAGTTAGTTGGATACGCTATACTGGTTTAGGCCTAGCGTTCACGTCGCTTGTGCACACGCCCGCGCAGCCCCCATGCACATGGTTAACCGCCAGCCATGACGACTCGACACTAGCCAAACCGTTTCGACATGTGCGCGTGTTCCAGGACGGGAAAAGAAGTCCTACTTTGAGAACGACGATCTGTTCCTGAGCATTCGGTCTAACCGGCAGTCGCTTGCCGGACGAGGGACGAAACATAGCGCGGTTTTGCGGAGTCGGTCCGATGGCCGCAGATGGAGAGAGGGCAAAAAAGACAGTGAGATGGAGCATGGGTGGATGATGAGCTGGAAGGATGGCATCATGTCCATGATGGCTGGCATTGCATGAGCCAGTATACTCGCCACTGTACTGCCACCAGATGAGCCCACCAGACTCGCTGCCCACGCGCCAGGAGCGCTCTGTCGCGCCCTGGCGAGCATTAGTCTACTTGCCTTGCCTTGCCAGCCAAGGCCAAGTCACTGGGAGCCAGCCCGCCGCCATTCAGCCCACTTGACGACAATGCTCATGCTTCACCGGCTGGTCATTGATGGCTGGCTGTCTCAGCCCAGGTGCGTGCGTACCCGCCATCTGCGTCAACGTCCGCTAACACACATACTTTTGATCGTTGTCCATGAGACCACAGACAACGTACGACAAGTGGCACGACCAACATCGTGCTAGGTTTTTC